TAAGATCAAAGAGGCATTGCAAATTCAGTGGGAAAAACCCTTCTTAATCAGCAATTGAAACATCTAGAATTGTCTCTTTCCTTTTAATTATGTTGTTCCTTGGTCTTTTATTTTATTATTATTATTATTATTACTATTATTATTATTGTTATTATTATTATTTTCTTTTATTTATTATTTTTTATTGATCTAGTCAAGCGCGCGCTATTTACATTTTTCGCGTTTTTAACATTCAAATGTAACGTAAGCTCTGACACATAATTTGTAACGTACCTTAATATCAATTCAAATGTACAACCGTTAAATGCTCATTTGCAACTGAAGATGACATGAGAATGTCGAAACATGTCGTGTAAATTGAAACTCAAAGTTTTCGTTTCTTTTTTGAGAGAAGCATAATTATAGTGACTGACTCGCGCACTCACTCTGAAATACAAATCAACCACCTCACATAAGATTGTAAAAACGAACGATAAAATCCTACGTTTCGGAGTAGTCCTGACTCCATTATCAAGGAAAATATGAAAGATCGTGCAAATTGCAACACAAAAAGCGTTTTTGGCGCGAATAATTTTAACATAAGAGGGTGCGAAGATCATAAAAATATTATAAAAATACTTTCGCACGAATGGAGTCTAATTGCACGTTGAGATTTGGCTTTAACGCTCTTCTAAAAAGCATTTCGTACACTAAGCAGTCAAATTTGTTTCTGCATTTCTTAAGCACTTCGAAACGCTTTAGCAGGTCCTGGGGCATTGTCCCGTGCATGTTCTTATAATGTTTGACAATGGCGGAGGATTGTTGTTTATGTCCTTTTGCACGATTATGTTAATGTCCGCGTGTGTAACAAATTGCTGATAATCAGCTATGAATACCACATATTCGTAAAATAATTTATGTCATACAGTAGGTCTAGCGTCATTGCCAATTAATTTTCGATTGAGAAAACCTATGAAAAGCTTTTTCTATCGGGCCACGGAAAGTCCATTTTTCAAGGGCTAACTAGTGATCGTCAATTCACTTATACTAGTTTTTGACATTTTTCAGTGCGTAGGGTGTTAGTTTTTGTGCTATATCATTTCTTCTAATCTCTTTCAGCTTTCTTACAAGACATCGAACTGGATGGTTGGGGTACATAGTTTGCAGCTGGCTCATCAGCACCTTTGAGGGGCTTCCACCATCGATTTTTAACTCATTTTTTAAGGAGTTTCGAAAATCTAGAGAAAATAGTCTGTATTTGGCAGCCAAGCGCTCGTAGTCACGCCGGAAACCTAATCTTCCGTTATCAAGCCGTGTGCAAACCCAATCAAACAAATCCATACTGTTTCTTTCCAGTTCCTCAAGGGTTACATCATCTACAAATAACAGATGAAAAAAATCATTAAAGTGATTTCTTTACACAATTTTTATTCAAGACTGCGTTCGCCGGCTAGTCCAGTGTTTAAAACAGGGCAAAGCAAGAACGAAAGATTGATACAAACAATCATCGGATAGATTCGTGATATAGTAAACAAATCAAATCTAAGAAGTTAATTGAGGCAGTCAGTCTCGCTTAGTACAGCGACTTACCGGGCCTGAGTTCCTCTTGTGACAAAGTTGGCTTCATCTCCAGTTCGTCCAACGGAATATCGACTGAATTCTTTGAATTTCCCCCCCTGAGGCAAAAAGGCCGGCAGAACACACCATGACGAATCATCGCGGTTATTACAACAAACAGACCTGCGATTCCTAACACTCCGCCTACTCCGGAAAGAACCAGGAGTACTTTATTTCCACTCTCCTTTTTAGGAGACTCCACTGATTTGGACGTGCTAATGGATTGGTTGATCCGAGACTTAAGAGCCTCGTCTGAGTTGGTGGACAATGCTGGTGATGTAAACTTTTCTTTCTCCTTTGTTGGAGTGGGTGTCTGTGTATTCCTTTTCGATGACAACTGTGTGGGAGCCCGGTGAATCATCGTTGCGGCTTGCGTCGGGGTATTTGTAGTGCGCACATAGCTACAGGGCGATGGACGCATTTTGCACTTCTTCAAATAATTTCCGCTGCACTCTTCTGAAAGCTCGTCTTTACCATCATGGCAACAATCCGAGCAAGGCCAACAGGAAAAACTAAACGGAAACGAGTAAAATCCTGGCTTGCACTCTTTGCTGCACTGAGTGTTCGAGAACAGGGTGCAGTTCTTGACCATAGCTTTCCCTGCAGAGCATATGGTGCATGCCTTGCACTGTGCTTTATCGTATTTTTCTGAATATGTTTCTCCCAGTTTGCACGAGATGCAATGAACAGGTGTCCAGTACTTTACTGATGTACCACATGGCACAGAAATCTCTGATCCCACCGGACAGTCAGGACAATCTATACATTTGAATTTTTTCTGAGTTGTGCCATTCCAGTGTATCTGATGTGATTTACACGGAAAGTCTCCTCTGACGCAGCAGATCTGTAATGAGATAACAAAACAAAAATACATCACCATATTCATCTGTCGGTGTTGTGAAACCGCTGAAATCCATCTGAATATAACTGAATTTATTCAGGTAAATGTCAAATGATTGTCACAGTATTTTGTTAGGAACCTGGATGCAAAAGCGATTCAAGCCCACATTGCGCTCATTCAGTTTGTTTTGCAGTGTTTTCTTTGGGGACTTTTTTTAACCCCCCTTTGTCCCCTTAAAATATACATTGAGCGCGACTCCTTCGCAAATGTAACCGACCTCTCCGTTCTTGGAAAGATTGCGTGATTCGAAATTCACTTATGGACGGCTAACTCGCAATCCACATCTGGTCAGCAAAACCATTATAATAAGAATACTATGTTGCAAAACAATATATGTTCATGTCATATCGTGGAGATAAGAACAAAATGTAAAAAAAAAAAGGTGAGCATGCTGATCTCATTCAGTTCAGGTTTGCAGCGTCAAGGGCCGCTCAGCGAGAATCGTCAGTTGGCACGTCCCTCAATATGACTCACCGACATATGACCTGATGAAAAATACGATTTTATCCTTCATCAAGGAGCTTTACTTGGTCGAAATGCTTTAATTCTGTATTTTCGTTGGCTTCATTGGCAACTTTAGTTAAGAAGTCTACTTATGAACAAGCAACGATCTATTCAAATCTAGCGCCGAGACTTGGGTAAAACTTTGTTGCCGTGTGCGCTTAGCTCTCTTGCTCAAGTCCAATTTGCTACCATGTTACATGTACGAAATAAACCTCATCACCATAAAAGGACAAGGCGCAGTTAAGCTTGAGTCTTATGACCACCTCGTGACAGTTTATACATATGACACCAACATTGCTATCGGCTGAGTAATCGAGGGTATTTTAAGATTTACAAGCCTTGCAATGGAATGATCGATGAAATCTATGTTGACTGAATAATTTGGATACAGAATCTTTGTAAAAGAAGGGAAATATAAATATTTTTTTCATTTTTGTCACATGAATGAGTTGCAATGTATTTCAATTGCGTTGTTCATCGAGTTATCACGATAATCGAAAGTGACCATGCAGTCTTCCTGATCGTGAGGATCAGTAGCTGAGCCAAATTACCTTTTGACTGTGCGCTGCCGTCTAACTTGATGAATGTAAGCCATAAAATCCAAATTTGGACTTTGTTTTTCTTCTACGTCGGATATGTATTAAGTTTTTGACTCCCATGGAAAAACAATACGACCAATGTGAACAGGAATGTTGACGAATTGAGTCAGTCAAGAAAATAGGGTAACGAAGAACGTATATGAATACAAAAGAAAGAAAAATAACATTGTGTTCCAGTCCGCGTAGATATGTGATGGGATAGAAAAAATATTTGAACCTCTGCTGTGGCACTGGCGCTCGTTGCGTAGATTATTGCAACGTAAGACTTTTCCATACGGGTGAAAAAAAAAAACAGAAATGTATACCCCGAAACAATTCCACCATTCCACACTTTGTTGCTCAGTAAACTGGTAGCAACTATAAAAAGCAAGAACTTTCCTTGTGCATAGAGATTACTATAGAATGGAAAATCATGAATTAGAACCGTTGAGATCATGTATCAAACTTGAGAATAGAATGAGTCATCATTCTTCAAAACTGACACGTAAGCACATTCAACTAAATCCTTCACCGCTTATCGTGAAAATGACTAACAATACATGAACTTATCCAAATTAAAGGAAAATTGCTAAAGAAGCACTGAAAAGTCAGAACAGTGATCGCGTGATTAGTTAAATGGCTTTCCTAACGACGAATTGTTGTTAATACAAGATGTTGTTGCTTACCAGCATTCCAAAATTGAAAACAATCAACAAACGTTTCATCTTAGCACCGCTGTGTCTGGTCCACGATCTCATCGACATCGTATTGAAGAAGCGTGAAACGTTTTCTCCTTTCTCAAACACCAGCTGATTTAATTTTCTTTGAGAAGAAAAACTAAAACTCTTTCACTCTTTGAACGACTACCATTCGATGGTAGACTACACGAGACCTTCAGCGTTTTCGAGCATTATTGGGGGATTCCCCTATCTGTAACCTGTTCTCGACTAGGTGATATATTTAGGAACGTTATATAAACCGGGTTGACCATATGCATTTCGTGCAAAGCCTAAAGAGGCAGTGTAAAGTATGCAAACGATGTAGATATGTGGTTAGTTTTACAGTTTATGGGAAGCTACTACTTGACCTCCACGCGTTAAACCGTCTGGAATTTTGACATCTTGTAGCCATAATTATCTATAAGAATTCAGTTAATTAGTCCCATTGAAGCCTTGACTATTAGACTTCGGCCAGAGAACAAAAATAGAACCGTTAGAAAATCGAAAACAAAAGATTGGTCAGTCTTCTCAATCTGTTTCAGACGCCTTGTCCACACCTACCTTTGAATCCTAAACACCGCTGACTGTTAGGAGTTATCTTTGTGAAATATATAGAGAGTAGCGCAGTTCAAAGTTAAATATTTACCTTAAATAAATCTTGTCAAATCTGTCCTGTCTACTTTTGTAGCATTATCCGGCTGTCGAAAATTGCAATTGGGACTAAGTTGACCTTATTTACTCACAAAGAAATGAGAGAGGTAAGTTTTACCAGTGATTTGTGATACTTAACCACTTTCTAAGTTTCACGACAAAGTTAAAAAAATGTTTTCTTTTTTTGCCCGAGATGTTTATCAAATCAAGGGAGGCTGAAGGAAGTTTGTTTAACAAGAATTTTAAAGTTCGCCTGGTACAGAAGTAAATGAATTTAATCTATGATAAGTTCACCCATTTTTAACGAAATGCCAACATCATAGCAGTTAGGGGATTAAGAAAAAATTCTCTCTTTTTTTCAAACAACCACCATACCAATTGACTCGTATACGTTTTGTATTGAGTGTCCTTTAACTAAAATTAATCTGACGGGGGGTAACCAGCATCTTAGTGTCGTCACGAATCGAAACCTTTTAGCTCCCGTGTTCGTGAAGACCGCGTTACATCACAATTGTAGCGTTACATGTTTTCGAACATCGGAGGGGTTCATGAATGGTTTAGACGAGCCTCTTTCGAGTTTCAGGAACCAAGCGAACTCAAAAGCAATCGCTTCGAAGTGCAGGAAGCGAAAATCAATTGCGTAAGGAGTCATCGATGAGAAACTGCATCATCTTTTCTTTAGTTTTACGGAGGAATGGGGGCCTGTGGTCATTTTAAAACAGCATCAGTTTTTCGTTGTCGAGCAGGAGACACCCTACGTCTGTCCCTCAGATATCTATCATGAAGGGACACGGCCTTAGACGTAGCAAAACAAAAGTCAGTTTTATTAACAAAACATCGCAAAAACATCGCATCAAATTCAGAAAAAACCATCCTTATGACAACTGTCCTTATGGAAAATCTACAAAGCTACATGCAACACAACTCATCTCGCAACAGCGAGAGTGTCGCTCACTCTTGTTTCGTGTCATCAGCTTTGGCCACCCGGGAAGTGTAAATGTGAGAAATGAATGTAGTCGTGACCCGATTCCATTTAATTTCGCTCATGTTGTAAATCCAGTATAAGCAGTAAACTAAACCGGCATGGAATTGTTGCCAAGTCCGATTCTACGCCTTTCGTCACCAATTCTTTCGCCACCTACGAGCCTTCTCTGTCTGAAACCGAATAATTTCACTTATCTATGAAGATAGTCTTTCAAAATTTCAACTACATCGTTCCTCAGTATATTTGGTTCCAGAAGAACTTTGATAAACTCTAACACAGTAAGTTCAGGTCGTCTAGTTTCTAGACCTTCTAAAAGCTGTCTTGAAGGACTTCCTGAACCAGAAGATCTAAATTCTTTCTCCAGTTCCCAAACGTCTTCTTCTAAATACAAGAACCGTAAAGCCACATCTCTAAAGTCACCTTTGCTCATTCCTTCCGCCTGTTTGTCTAGTCTTTTCCACACTTTGGTATATGTGTCAAATGAAAGGGACTTCAAATCTTTTAAGGAGATCAGAACTAAAAAACCGAAAGGAAAATCACTTGTCATAATGTTGTTAGCCTAACTGAAGAACTCCGTTAAAAAACGTTACGTGGGCAAACAAAGGGATACTGGTCACGAAGAAGCGTCATGGTTTGAGTACCCGTAAAATGTTAGACCAAATTTTGAAGTTCTGATCCTAGTATAACCATACTTCTTTAAATATTTATAATAAATATACTTTTCAATAATTAACTTCGAAACAAAACCCATCACGAAAATATCACAGTGTTGCCATTTAATTAATAATTAAATGAAATTGAAACCTGTGTTGTCAAGTCTTACATGAGGTACATGTCTGTCATTCCTCGCTTTTAGAAATATTTATTATTATCTGTGTCTCAAACATGAAACAACTGTACCTATAAATTGATATTAAGTACCTCCGCCAATGATTCTGGCTGGCGGGACAAAAAGGACGCGCAACAAGAACGAGGCAAAACCAAAGATCTGATGTGCAGAATAATAGCTCAGCACGTGCTTTTAAAACTCTCGAAATTTCATTGCCGTCCTCCGCAAAACAAAACCAAACTTTCGTAGTCTAAGAACGGAAGCCTCCACGACAAAATATTCAAGTTACCATTTGGAACTTCAGTTAGCACTGCTCACATACATTATGCTTAAGTTAAGGCTTGGAACCGAAAGGGACGGTGAACACATCTAGTCATCTGCAAAATTCTATCTAAAAGTATAAATTCAATTTTTAATCGACGTTCTCCTCAGCGTTTTCGTCCTGAATGTTTAATCCCATAACGGAGGGTCTGAGTATTTTATATCCTTCGATCTTGTTCAAAATAGTGCAAATTCACTCACCTCCTAGTGGCACAGCGTTTATCGATTGTTTGATGTCATCTAACGGAGTTCTCTCTGTTTGTTTACCGAGTTCAGAGTCTCTACACCTCAGGATGGGACCACACTTCATCCTTTCAAAGAAGCGCGCAAGCTTGTTTCGTGTAAAAACAATTATAATGATTACAATGAAAATAGTGGAAATACCACACATGGTATATACAACAATAACAGTTTGATTATTACTATCGACGCTTCTATCAGAATAAGATCCCTTTGATTTATTTCCGTGGGATCCCTCTGAAGCTGAAGTTCTTTGATACTGAGAGGTAGGTAACGTTTCCTGAGAAGAAAATGTCGCACTTGTGGTCGTGGCAGTGGTTCTTGCAAACGGCTCCGGTGTTCTTCGTAAAGGAGCCATAGTAGCTTCCTCTGCTTGTCCCTTTTGGCTTGCCCCTTCCTTTACCGTGTGATTTGCGCCTAAAAATGGTGTACTCCACGTGGTCTTTGGAGCTGTCCAAACCAGTTGACAGCTGGGCGCGGCTCTAAGTTTGCAAAGTCGCTGCCTTGGCAGCCCTTGGTCTTTGCACTGCTTCTCTAACTGATCTTTACCGTCCTCACAGCAGACAGAACACGGAAGGCAATGGTAAACCATGTTGATGATGACAACTTTCTGGTAATAACCAAACTTACAAGAGCCACATCGAGTGTTCGTAGCCGCAGAACAGTTCCTTTTCACTGTGCGACCAATGGAGCATAGGGAGCAAGGCCTACAGGGCCCTTTCCCGTAATTGTCCGAATAGGTTCCCTGCGTGCATGGTACACAATGTAGGTGTGTTCCATATATGGCCGTCCCGCCGCAAGGAATCGAGGGTTCCATTCCGTCTGGGCAGTCAATACATGGCATACACATGCTTTTCTGTCCTGGTTTATCGCTTCGCCAGGTGATCTCATCACCTCTGCAGCCCAAGCAACTTCTTCCATGTGTTTGGAGCTGAAAAAGAAGGAAAATTAATTTTCGTTATTGAAACACTATCTTCCACCCAGCTGCAACCGTCAGATCAGCATTTTTCGTTATCCAACAGTAACCAGTTAGTTTCCTAGAGGGATAAAAAAGGAGGAAAAGGGAAGTTCATTTCACATGCTCAATACTACCGGTGTGTGTCATTTAGTTTCTTCACAGGTCATTGGAAGAAATATTGAGGAATAGTGATTTCCCAGTTCTCTACTGGTTGTAAAACAAACTATCTAAATTCAGTTGACCATGATATATTAAACCACCTATCGCCTGAATTTTGCCAGCCTGAAATAAACTAAATGCGAACTTACCACGGCTGCTATAATTACGGTCTTTGTTAACATTCGGACGGAGCTCATGGTTCAGGAGTACGTCTTTAGTCCACTTGACTCGGGTAAGGTTTAGAAGTATATTTACCTCCAAAACGGCAATGTCCTTGCAAGTGAAGCAAATTATTCACTTACAAAGCTTGAGATATGAAAAGATACAGTATGACACGACAGGTCAAAGTATGTTTCAAATCGTATAATGATGAAAACTGAGATTTTTGAAAGAACAGTAACCGTATATATACCGACGGTTGAGTCTTCATTCACTTTTTTTTCAAATCCTGCTGAATAGGCTGTGACTTTTGAAACATAAATAATATCTTACAATAAAAAGAATCAGTAGAAGCTTATTCTTTTGGCACAGTAGCGAGTTGTTAAAAAAAATGTGCTGACACGCAAAATGCCAACTGGTTGATACTGGATTAGACCATGTGGGTAATCTCACACTGCCAAAAAAAGCTAGTTGACGTCATCCCAAAGACATCCCAAAGGTAACAAGACACAGAGTAAAGCAGAGAGGGGAGGAGGGCGGTATCAGTCAATCGAAAAAATAATCAGAATTTAAGCGAGTTAAAACAGTATCGTATGACTCTATTGAAAGCGATCACAATCGCCCTCACGAGCTTTCTTTTGACCCAGGTCTTATACAATTTCTCACCCTCCTTCAATTTCTAATCTCTGATCGAAACATCTTCAGGAGCTTAGACTACATGTGAAGTCAATCTATTTACGTAAAAAATTATTTCAAATTACTCTGTAATCAGCTGTTCAAACATTTGCATGCCCAAGCTTGGCCTTAGGCAAGTGAAGAAATAAAGCAGGAAGTTGTGGCACCCAGTATCGCTTTCATGTCTACACGGGAACAACCATTAACACGTATTTATTTATGGAAACAACTTATTGTAGTTCGAGATCGCAGAATTTCTGGAAACTAATTGTGAGTATAACATGAACAAGGAAAGAACCCTTACATTTTAATTTTTTAACCTGTTGAGTTCTAATGAGAGAAGCTACATGGTAGATTATTTGTAAATGAACCTTCCAAGCGATTCCGACTTTAAAATGTCACTTGATCTGATTTGACTGAAAGTAATGTACTTTTTTTGGGATTTTTCCTTTCCCTGTGGGAACATATGGCGAGATTAACGACAACCGGAAAATCCAAAATAACCAAAACTCTAAAACTTCCAAGCTTCACAGATACCAACCGTAATTAATTCACACACGGAATGCTCAAACACTTCGCAGCGTAGTATTAGAGATTTTTTTATAAAGAAAACAAAATGTAGAATTCAAAGAACCCTCGTCGTTTTTATTCATAATTCCATCATCAATCGATTCAACTACCTATAAAGTAGACATTAATTATAATCCTCATAATTTGATACGAGCATTAGAGAGGATCAATTAAAATTAGTTTCGGTCAGACATCGAATGTCTGGGTTGTATCGTTATCTCAACAGAAAAACAAAACATATTTGCAATGCAAATTCTGTAAATTCTGGTTTTCAAGAAGAAGATCTACCTCTTGCAGAGTAGAAAGTAGAGAAATGACATAAAATAAGACGACGATAACGATTTCGAACTGCAAAGGCCGAATGCAGTGGACGTATACAGGAATGACATCCAAAGCAGAGGGGTCAAGCATACATCCTGATCCAGGTTAACCTGTACAGCTGAAATAGAAGTGGAGAAAGGACTTCCCTTTGAAGGCGATAAAGAGAACGTTACAATATAGGCTAAAAGTGAAAGGAAATTCGCCGTACAAGATTAACGAGACAAGGGACCGCTACTGAGGAGGGCAATACTTCTTAACAGGCGGTGTGCGCACTCCGATTGCATTGCGTTGTGTTAGCGTTATTTTCAATATGGCGGTAAAAGCGGTGGAAATGGGTAGAGTTTGACTGAATATTCCGTAAAAGTTAGGCCGTTTCTTTTTCCTTTCACTACAGGTAAATATAATTTGATATATTCTGAATGTGTAGAAGTATTTTTCGTACATATTTGTCACGTATTATATCGTTCTCAAGGACAAACGCAAGCACTGTATCTTGGCATGTGATTTGAGAACGGTTATCGAGCAGGTCAAATTCGTTGTACGTCGTAGTTTGAAGCCTTTCAAAGATTTGTATGACCACTTTGATCCTTCTTCAACAGCTCTTACCAAACGCGCTCAAACGCACTCCAATGGTACAAATGTTCTATGCATTTTAAGTGATAGTGTTTGAGAACCTTTTGTGGAGCGAAAAGGCCCATTTTTGTGTTTAGTGTGTTGCGTTACATAGGGTTACTATTGCAAGGGCATCTACCAATCGTGTTGTAAATCTACTTTCCTAAGTGAAGGAAAATTAAATAATAGCGAAGGTTGTGAGGTAAATCTTCTATCTTGATAAATGAATGAAGGACAGTTTTATTAGAGCAATGAAAAGAGTCACTTGATCCATGAAAGCCTCTACCTTGCGCGAGGCGACACCCCGGACAGCCGGAAAGCAAAAGGCAGTCGACTGTTGAAAGGTGTTGATAGGCCTGTGCGTCTCCTACCATTCGCTCTTATTAGGATATCTCTTAATGACTTTCCTTGCCGATGTGATGATAAGGGTCAGTTTTGAGCTGTCATAATTCTCCATCTGTATGTTCTTGAGGTTTGGCAAAGCCGGATGAGATTGAGTTACAAAAGGCAATACTTTCTTCTGTGCGCACGCTATCTTTTTTGTTTCAGAGTATACTTCTCTCCTGAGGTAATATCTCCAGAGATACGTTTCTCAAAACCTTTATATATAGGTTTCCTCTACTCTCGAAGGGTATTTTGAAACTCTGTACGTTTTTACTAAACGTGGAGTGCGACAAATTCGTTCTTAGGAGGGGTGGGACTTCTCCTCTTACAGATCCCGTATTTACGCTTGATGGAAAAAGTTCGTGTTTTACAAAGTCTCTGTCTCTCTAATATGCGTTTGCAAGTCAATTCGCAGTTGAATAACTTGCGTCTAGGAAAATAATTACTGACTTTGAAATTATTCATCCCGCCATCGGTTCTGAGTGTAACTGTTGCCATTTGTGTCGAGATTCTTAGGCAGATTGCAATTTCGAATCTTTTTAAATAACGTCAGTTGCCTCCTAAGAACGAATTCGTCACGCAGGAATGACAGGAGTAGTGCAGGCCCGTCAAACGTTTTAACTTTCGAAGGAATGGCAACAGATAGTGAATCTCCATTACAATCCACGTATATTCACGCCTTATCTCGCTGCCACCAAAGATGTTCACTCCAACGCGTCAAGATGCAAGTGACTCAATTTTTGTTTAACGACTATGATGTAACGCAATCAGAGTGCGCACACCGCCTGACTTCTTAACTTATTACTTAAAAACTCACGGTCTCAAATGTCCAAGTGCTCGGAGTACTTTGAATTCAAAGAAGATGAAACGGATGATCGGTTATGAAAGGGCTATAAAATGGCATAGTTTGGGCTGATAGTGCCGCCATAAGCTTGGATCGACAATGCTGCCGACATTCTCAGGTTCTTCGAATGTGTTGCAAGGGAAATAGCGAGAAACAACTTTACGTCGCTATCGCAATTAGCAAGAAGGCAGCATAAATTAAAAATGGCTCCGGAAAGCGAGCCATAGCTCAAATATTCTCAATGTCCTGTGACGAATTCAGCATTTCGTCGAAGTACGATTCTAATCATTGTACATCATAATACAAATCCGCTATCTCGTGTGCTCTAAATTTGTCGATTTGGAATTGTCTAAACAAATGGAATACTTGGAAATGTGACGTCGTCATCCAATAATGTTGTATAGAACAAAAGGGAAGTTGGAAAATAGATTCTGAAATATGCATAATAACATTTAGAAAAATGAAATGTGTTTATTGTACGACTTAAATGTAAATTGCTATTGATTAATGAAATAGTGATTTAAGGTTAAAATTGTATTACAAAATACAGCAGTCGACATCCGTTTGGTAACAAGTAAATACGAAGTATATACCATTGGTATAACTAGTATATCAATCTAAGAGTATCTATCTACTTTGCCGCAGAAAATAAGTTAATTAAGTGGTCTTTAAGAAATTTACCCTAAAGGAGAACATATTTCGTCTATAAACATCTTGGAACTTTTCATCACAGTTTCAACACATTTCCCAGAACGAATGGTGAAAATTATGGAGCAAAGTTACAGCAGTTAGAAAGCAGAAAAGCTAATAAGATTAAGAATAGAAATTAAAGGAAAGCAAATCTTATTGCATGAGACTTTTGATGAGGTTTTGACCCCTTCGAACTTCTAAAATCAAACTGATTATGAAAAATTTTGAATAAGTAGGTAATATTTGCGAAGCAGATGCAGTCACTATCAGAGAGGCTGCAAGTACATCTTTAGCTCTTATATTTCAGTAAAAATCAAATTAATTATGAAAACATTTGAATAAGTAGGTAACATTTGCAAAGCAGATACAGTCACTATCAGAGAGGCTGTAAATTAGCTCTCATATTTAGATAATTAACTCTATCATTGATAGACAACAGTAAACTAAAAAAATAAATTTACCAGTATGAAAAATTAAAAAAATTATGAAAAACTATTAAATAGGTAAAAAAATGAGGAAAAACATCTGTATTTAATTAAGTGACTTTATAGTGCTAGGATCTAGATAACCCTCGATAACCCTGTTTAAAGAATTATCTTCGGTTTTATAATTGAGTTTCAAAAAAAATACTGCGATTGCATTTGTTTTTCTGCTTAACTTCGTTCTGTACGCCACCATGTTAATCAATCAAATGTAAAGCTATAGCCAATTGCAAGTTGGACACTCGCGAATTCCTGCACTTAAAGAAGCTTGCCAGCTTAAATTCTCATTGGCTGCTGATAACCTCTGTTTTGTTTGGCCAGTGAGGTAGCCATGGTTTTGGATTTGCGACGCTGAATGAAAGACTACTCTTTAATCGGTAGAATCTAAAAATTACTTGGAAGGGCTATGGTAGAAAAGGTGTTTGCCCTCTTTTCCCCTTAATGGTGATTCAAGGCAAAAACAATAAGACAATCAGCAATTTTCGTTTACAGGTATATACACAGCTCTACCATCCAAATTAATAGTAAATTGAAGATAACATTGAATTCATGCCAATCAAGATATCTCTTTAAAAATTGGGTCCTATTCATTAAACAAAGCTACATAAAGTTTTTACACTAGTAGGTACAACTATTTAGAATTACACTCATTGGAAATAATGATTATATCTATACATGAAAATGAAAGTATCAGTAAAGAAAAATCATGCCATTTTTTTTCTTACAACAAATCATATTCCTCTAAAAGCTTCGCAACATCACCTCTCTTTGCTACTTTCCTCACCACAGTTACAAACTGAGCCACTGTTAGCTGATCATTTGTAGCTGCTAAGTGGTCAATTAGGGCTCTGGATGGTCCATCCTTGTGCCTCTCATAAACTGCTGCCTTCTCATAATGATCAATATCATAGTGTGAACAGACATCACGATAGTCACCTACGCCTGCCATAGCTGTGTCCAATCGCTCACAGATTTTCTTTAAGTACTGGTAGGATGCACTCTCCAACAAGCTGCTAAGTAGCTTCGAATCTGCAACAAGGAATAAGAACAGACAACATTACAATGGCCATACTAGTAGTTTATTCATAACAAATTTACTTCCTAGGCTCCTCTCTGTCCAAATATCATTTTAAGTTTATTACACAGCTTCACTTGATATTGCTTTAAGCTAACATTTTTTCCTCTGAAGTCTTACATGGGTGACGCAGATATGTCACAAATAAGACCGTCTCAAAGAGATTTCTCTTTTATCCTGGATTCATTCGTCGAATTTTGATTAGTTCAACTGTAAGAAACTAGATAAGAAATCTTAGACCTAATAATATCTACTAGTATACTATAGTGGTATGGTGGCCTAAAAGAATTGTCCTAATTCATTCTAAAAAAACACTAATAAACGCCAAAGTATTATTCCTACTGAAGGTCTATCACACCTTTCTTTCTGGCGGGTTCAGAGTCGTCCAAGTTCTCAGGAGTACCCTTAAATAAAAAAGAAATTATAAATAAATTAATAAGTATTAACAAATACTATGATTTAAGTAGACCATTTAAGTGTGTACAGCCATGAAGGGAAATTTTATGACTCTTTTATGGACAAACCTCACTCCGAAAAATTGAAAAATTCATTTCGTATGTTTTAGCTCATCTTAATTCAGTTTTGATGTCTGCACCTTTTGTATTGTACCTCAGTTGTACCTTGATATTTTAAAAATCTTGGCTTCTTTACAATTGTACCACAGCTATGCATTTAAAAGGAACAGTTAGTTAGGGATAACGAGTTAGTCTTTTCTTTCATCATAAATATACCACTTGCAGCTTTTAATGGGTGGGAAAATATTATTTTGTTTACCTCTGCCAACAAGAGTACCTTTGAACCTGAATGAAATTTTCCAGACTTATTTGATTTACCACTCTCTGCTAACATTACTTGTGAGTCGTCTACTGGAAATATCAAAATATACACAAAAATTGTATCTGTATGACAAACATGGAGGAAGCTCTACAGACTTTAGGAAAATCGTCACGTTGCAGTTAACGACAGAGGAAAAAAACTATTTTTCGGTCTGTGTTTCTTTCTTCAGGACTTAGAATCAAGTGTTTACTTTTCCTATGTTGCTACATGAATTATGCATTCGTTCGAATATTGTAAGGCGACCAACTGACAAGGTCTTTGACGAAACTACTCCATTAAAAAATCACTTTTGGGAAGAGAATTATATGGGGTTAAAAAGAGTCTGCAATTGGTTACAGCTGATTGGACAAGCTTCTTATAATTATTTTCATGTGTCTAAATCAGCTCAATATTTCAAAAGTAGTCACCATCAGTACGAACGCAAAAGGAAAGCTGCACACCCTTACCACTCTTTCTGTCACTTGATGATCGGTCCTGCAAATCATGATGGTCTTCCTCTTCAATATTATGATTACAGCAACTCAACATCTTAGCCAGTTTTTTCTTGAAGCATAAACAAGTACAAAAAAACAAAACAACCACTATCACCACCGGGATAACAATTGCTGCCAAGTAGCACAGATCCTTTGCTTGGGTGGAATGATCGCTCTTTTGCGTGGTATAAGGAACATCATGTTTGGGACTAACAGAGCTGTTAGTGGGTGTGGGTTGAGGTGTTGTTTGGTCACAGCGGTTTACACTGCTGTCAAATGAACAGACGGTGTTTGAATCAGCTCCAATCTTCTCTTTACACTCATCCACCACTACATCTGCATCATTACCACAGCATGTTGAACATCTCAAACAGTCTCCCATGTCCACATCATAATATCTAGAACAAGTAATATTTTAATAACTTTAAAAGCATTGCTTGCATGCCATCTAACAAAAAGAAATTTTCTATAGAAACTGCAATGGCTTTTATATTGAAGAAAATTATTGGCGGTAGATCAGCTTTTAAAACCAATTCCAGAGTCTGTACCTATTTCATCATTAGAACTAGATACTTTGCTTGAACAAAATAATTTCCAAAACCTTTAATTATAAGGATGAAAACAATTTCCATAATCAATTCCAAGACAATCTATGAATAATTGTTTGAATAGCTTTACCTGTCTTTGCTGGAGCATTTATTTGCGCACTTGACATCCATTTTGGGGGAACAGCTTTGTTCCACCACCTGACCTTGGGAGCAGGATGTACAAGGGATGCATGTGGACGAATCTTCATATCTGGAGAATGAAACTCCAGAGATGCATGGCACACAGGTCACCATGGTATTAAAAGGCAACATTTGAGAACTGCCACACTCTGTTGACAGACCCTGTCCTGGCGGGCAAGTTCTACAATCAATGCACAACTGTGACCAATCTTCATCTTCAACCCAGTGCTGGGTTAGTTTGCAAGGACGTGGCTGACTTGGCGTCGGCTAGAAAAAGGATCCGCAAAAAAAAGTTTAAAGTAAAGTAATACACGTACTCTTTGTGAGCACAAGGAAAGATGTCGGGCTAATTCTGTACTATTTTGAAGAAGAGACTTGATCTGAAATGTAAGCTGTTATTTTCAACATTATTTTCTTTATCAATTAATTGTATTCATAATATATGAGATTATACAGGAACAGGGTTGTGCATGATTCTGTAAATGCAATAAAAAAAAAAGTTCCTCTCGGTATCATAACGGCTTTGGAAGAATCAAAGGAGGATCACACGGTAAAGTTCCGCCGTTTTGAAATGAGATGCGTAGTTTACTTCGTATGTTATGAAGGCCACTTTCAACTGTCATTGAAATCTCATTTAACTGCAGAATATCCGGTTCCGCATGACTGTTTTGTATTGGACAACACATTTGCTCAATAAGCACCATTTTTAATTCTTTATTCATCTTAAGCTGCATAGCTTTTATTACTATCAAGGTTGTCAAGGTTGTCTGTCGCTTTTGGAAATCACTTATCAGTGAAATTGATATCCTCAATAAAGATTATTATTATCTTCAACACAATAGAAAAGAAAATTGATTATTGTTCATGCATCTTCTTCGCGTTATCCTTTCAAATTCAAGCTAGGTATCAATTCAGTAAATGAATACCTAATCACTCCTCTGGAAAATTTATTCTTTTCGCTACCATAAGAGACAAAAAGGTCTCTGTGTCCTTGTTATCCTTATTATCTCCGACCTCCTTAAAGTCAAATACGGAATACATCTTTTGAGCTTGGACACTCCAATGTAGCATACGTAAAGTTGCAACATTATCTATTACGGTTCAATATGGCTGATCACCATCGAACAGACCTATACCGACAGCAAAGTTTTTTAACATGACTTTTGTGGAGGATAACAAGCCAAAAGGGTTTTCAATTGATTGGAAAGGTAATTTGGACTCGTAACTTGAAACCGAAAGCAAAGAATTGAGGTAAACAATCTTTATGAGGCTTGACGCGCGTGTTTGCGTCTGCTGACAAAATGTAAACAAGTGCAGTTCGATGCTTTCCTTGTCGCTGTTTTCATGTTAAGAATTTGTTTTTCTATTAATAAGAAGTTTGTCCTTAGTCTATAGGAGAGCTCGGAGCCCAATGAATGAAAATTATGGTAATTTTGTTCGAGCAAAAGAGCGGAGTAGGTATGAGTAATTTAAACATCCGCTTCCATTGACAACCTCGTTGATATTGAACAACAACAAACATATGAAACATATGAGTGAACTGCGGTTATGAGACGTATATAAGAACGATCCTTCGAAGGATCCTTACTGCGAAGGATCGTTCTTATATAAGTCTCGTTGATATTGTAGGTTTGGCTAATTTCCATGGGTTTTTCAGGCTATACTTTTCTCGTAAAACAAGGAAAATTTTAAATGTACCAAAAATTTGTGGTAGCTGTGTTTTACGGACTTTCCACTGAAATATTTCTACGTTTCTTCTGCGAATTAATGTGCCACGGAATTGTCAAGTTGAGTGAGGACAAATTTTCTTTCCAAAGGAGCTGTATTGTTGTATTTTCCCCTTCCAAACTGACTATTTTAGTTTACTCTTCTTTTCATACGTCAAGAAATTTGAACATAAGAGGCAGAATTGTTCCTTTTACCCTCGATTTTCGGTTATAGCTTAGAATGAAAACGTTCTTGTTTCTAAAGGTGTAGTAGGTAGATTCCTATCTTAGTGACATTGGTTGAAGTTTGTTATGTAATATATTAAGGGTATAAGATGCTGTAAAAAGAGCATAGTAAATTTTGTCAGCCCTCACAAGGAGAAATGTTCATGAAATTCCAACTACAAAAATCTTACCTTTGTAGAAACCACGGGAAGAAGATAGAAGACCACGGCTATTATCCCAACTAACTGCCAAAACAAGTTAGCATGAATGATTGTTAACGTTTAAACATACGTGCTAAGGTTCATCTACGTTATTGAATACTCTTTTGTTTTCCCAAACTCAGACAATGAATATTAATTTTTTTGTTTACATTTATATGCGGTCAAAGCTGATGCAATATTCATTTTCATGAACCGTTTTAAACACGATCGTTTTGATGAAACAAACGCACGGTTTTGATGACTTGTATTGGAAAGGAATGACGTATTCGCCAAGCTAGAAGTGTGTGAATTGCCAAGGAAAAAAAAATTAGATATGGTATAGAACTGTACCCAAATCAACTGTTTTGACAGTTGTGGCGTAAACCTGTAATCGATAAAACCGTGTTTCACGCAGGTCTTGAAAAAGAATACTCTTAAAATGAAATGGGATAAAGTTTACCACGACTCCCTCATAATGAAAACTTATTCACAATCATGCAGAATTCTTGTATTCCGTTAGCTGGTTGAGAAACGTAATTTGTCAATCGATATGATTATGCAGCACATTTTTCACAAAATACAGCTTTTAGAAACCTGTGTTGAAGTAGTTAGAATGGCACGCGCAGAAAGAGTTTTGATAGTGTTTGACGACGGAAAGACAACTTATAACCATTGCATCTTGAGTAATTTTCTTACCTTTAAGTAAAAAGGCGAAATAAAGCTGCGTTTAGCGAACTGCCATGGTCTTTGTGGTATTGCGTAGTAAATTTTTCTCCTAACCACCTGATAATGAACAAACGAGGAAGTCGTCGTTAGAATCAAGGGTACTGCGTTTTTGTGAGATTTGCTAAATAAATTTCCCGCAAGAATTAAAACTTATTTTTGAATAATGAGAGATACAACGAGATTCTTACCATTTTCCCTAAGTGCATCGTGGTTTTTCAATGAGTTCGAGATCTCTACCGAAGTAACTGCTATGAAGAAGTCATCAAGCGTAAAGCTCGTGACAAATCCATCTTGCATTATTCCCTCAGATGATTCTTAACTCAATCCAAAAGTTCGAAGAAGTAGAGAAAAATAGCCTTAGAAAAATCTAAAACGTCAAACCCCGCGGTGTAAGAGCGAGATAACGTCAATGAAACGAATAGTGGTATTTAAAGTTTGTTTACATTATGTTACGCTCACTTTGATTGATTCTTTGACTTTGTTTTTCTTTGGCCGTCCAGTCAAAAAACGTGTCTTATTTTGATCCCAAGTTCATCCAAGGGCGCACGGCCAGTCACATGAATTGCTTGTGATCGATAGGAATTTGGCGGGAAAATTCCCGGCTGATGAGAATGATTATAGATTCTTATGAACCCGTTGAATGGCAATGAATTATCTTCGTCTTCTTCGGAATGGACAGGCATTCTTCAACTTCACGTCAAATTCCTCGAGGCGCTTGTTATAAAGGAATACGAAATGAATAAATCACACAAATGTTTACACACATTATTCACAAGCACGCTCATGGTTTGCTACAAAAAATCTCTCTCAATACAGAGCCAGAGATCGAGCGAGATAATGGAAGAGTAGAACTGACCCTCTTGCTCAGACAGGCGCTGATATTGACGATAGCTGTCGGTGATTCCTTGGAGAAAATGGTATTGCAATTCTTGCATGTTTCGTCTAGTTAATCAACTAGCAGCAGAAGATATTGTGAAGCTTCAGTAGTTTCTGAGTTGTGTCGAATCTTTCTCCTCGAAAGCGATTTAATACAACTTCTTGTACTTTGGACTCCATGAGACTGGAAAGGAGCCATGAGAAATATGATACCTAATATTCCACTGCGTAACCTGTTACGAACGAAAAAGCGCGTAAATAGCCTCAAGAGGCAAGATTACCAATATTTTGTACGGTTATTACTTATTGTTTCTGTAATCCTTCTGTTTGTGCTCCAAGACTAAAATCACATCTTGAAGAATAAGGTATTATAAGAGAATTACATGAATCCACGTAGATAAATTATGTATGTCAGGTTTTGTGTAGCGACATATCTAGACATTCAGGAGCTAAATTTACTTCGGGCCCTCTTGTTCCTTAAGGTTTTTTCTTTAACTTTTTTATTTTTAGAATTGGAAAGAGTTACTTTTGAACCAAGGGACTCTGGGATACATAGGAGAATGAACTATTTGAAAAAGACATGCGGGCAATGTTGTCCCCATACATTACAATTACGTATGAGCCAAAGTCCACCAGTCATGGACACAAATCCGTGACCGCTGGTCTAAGATCACGCGCGCATTTTTTTTTCGATAGTTAACAACTATTCACCAAAGTGGAGGTGGTTAGTGGTGGATATTTACCGAGCCGCGAAGCGGTAAGGTAAATATCCACCGTTTACCACCGACACTGAGGTGAATAGTTATTTTAGTATATACTAAAACAGTGAGATATTATACACCACCGTCGTTAATTTGAGTGATTTCTTTGCTTGTCACGGATGCAAACCGGGACGCCATTTTTTCCCGAGTTGCTCGGAGGTAAATAGCAAAGGATATTCAGAGTTTGACTAGCCAATCAGAGCGCGCCTTCAACGCTATCCACTGTTTTAGTATATACTAATACCTTTTATGACGTGTGGTTGCACGTTCAAAAAAATATACATGAGCTGTTCTTTTCTATTCTAAATTACGTTCTTTTGTTCTTGAACATAATTGTTTTACAGAATTTTGCTGCTTGTTTCCCACGACACAGGTGCCAATAATTAACTCTAGCCCGGTAATCCTGCACGCCCCAAACCAAGAATTGATTTTGGGAACAATAAGGGGAAGTTGAGATTATTGTTAAAGTTGCATTTGTTTTGAATCTTCAGAGATGTCTGAGCGAGTCGATTGATGAAACCAGATATGGATTTTTGCTAATACTGGATTTTGCAAAGAACTGGATCGTAGGAAGAAGCAAGATGCGTGCGTGCAATATGCAACAATGACAAGAGCTGTAAGATTAAACACAAAACCAGATAATATTTGAAACTTTGAGATAAAATGTTAGGTTTCAGCGAGGAACGGATCTGAGTTCGCTTTAATAGCAGATATTTGTTAACCCGTAATGGAGACCAGGAGATTTTCCTTTTTTTTCTTTTTTTTTGTTTTTTGTTTGTTTTTTTTTTTTTTTTTTATGGAGACTACCGAATAATCTGAGAGAGTTAGCATACTTGATATTGACTGTAAAAAGAATAAATTTGCCAGAAATTTAAGCTTTTACAGGAGGCTTGTTTGAATTATTTTATAAAGTAATATTTCGTTCATTTTCGAACAGTCCTCTTTCAAATTGTGACATAAACTCATTTTTTAGACAATTATTTTGTTTAAGCTAGAGCTCTAAGGAGTCTTTTATTTTTTTATATTTTTTTTATTTCTTTCAGTTTTGTGGTCAATCCGTGTTGTCAATACATAAGCCAGAAAGTTCGACAGGTCCGTCTAAAAGTGAAGTGATGAGAATATCTCTTCATTGTTTTGAAGATCATTCTCTATAGCTGTGTAAATGGGGTTCAAGAACCTCCACAGCATCAAAGCGCTGAATTTTCCTTGCTTGTAGAATTTGCACAAATTCTGCCACAGTGAACTGAGGCGACTTCACCATTAGTGCTTCTAACAAAACAGTGCAAGGACTTCCATCCGAAGTCAACATTTCATTTCGGAAAATCTGAATCTCTTCCTCAGTGAATCCAAGGCTTGTTGCAACATGCCTCCAATTGCCAACTCCCTTGAGGGGCATATCGAGTTTCTCACAAAGAGCTTTAATCGCCTCTTTTGGAAGATCTTTCAGGCAGGGTGATGGTTTGTCTTGGTTGATGATCAGTGGATCTTTAAGACATTAGAATGGCATCAATCAGCTGAGTTAAGCAACTTATTGCAAGTAGGTTACATTGCAATAAATGAGCTTGTTTTGGAATTATTATAATGTAAATTGCAAAATTTAAATTAAGAAAAAAAGTGAAATACATCCTCAAAATCTTTAAATAAACTGAACTTTCTCTCCGAGTTTCTCACTTGTCTACATTTGAATTTTAGGGAATTCTCCCTTCTGGTAGTGGAAAGGAAGACTTTTTTCTAACATCCGACGTGAAACCCTGGATAGTCTAATTGGCAGACGGTCAAAGGTACAGAGATACTTGTGTTGGTTTTCTTCCACCAGTAAGACCAGTTTCTTAACAGCATAAAAAAAACTAGATATACCTAATTAATCAATATTGAAACTTTTGGCATTTTTAAATTTTATATCTTTCTATCACAATTTCTTTTTCAAAAACAAATCTTGGTTGAACATGGTTTTACTCTTGAGAATGAAAGCCACTACTATAGAAAGTATAACAGGAATGACAATGCAAATCATTAAGAAGGGGAGCTTTCTAACACTAGTACGTGATTGATACACTATCAAGATGTATGTGAAAACGATTCCACCCATAATATACCACTTCATACGGTTTTCCCTTGATTAGCTGATAACTCAGAATTATAACTTTTGTACAAATCATATTTCATGACTACGCACATATATCGACTCATAACCTCAGTACGGCTTATGTTATGCTGTATTCTGTACACTCAGGTTCTCTGTGAAGAATACAGGGCTACATTATGGCTATTGGAGTTAAAATGTAAAATCTGTACTTCAGAAATACTAAGTTTTAGAAAATAAAACTTCATTTCAAAATTTCAATTTTTTGATCAAACAAGAGGTGGATAACTATTATTGGCTTCCCAGGGTAGCTAAATTGTGATGTTGAGTACCAATAACTCAGTCCTAAAATCATTGTGGTCTTACCACACAAGTTTCTCCCAGTCACCATTGGATAACTGTCATTACCACATCCTGGTTGGCGCCCTTGAAACTTTCCAAATGGATCCTGCAAAGAAGGAAACATAAATTTAGAATTGTGCAATTGAGCCATGTATTTAGTTTATCACACATATATCATATGTGACATGATTGTATCTTAACCCTTTTAATAAAAAATCTACGAAAGTCACATTAGACTTAAGATCTTCAGAGTTGCGAAAATCAATTGCCACAAATTTCACTGCTAATATGCATAATATCATGCTAGCTAATAAATCTATTGACTAAATTTATATAATATAGTTTTTTTCAAACATTATTTTGATAATTTCAATTCAATTAGACTGTCTTTTGAAAAAAAGCATTTACCTCTCTAATTGAGGCAACTGCGCAAATTGTTGTTGTTGTATCTTCAGCAGTAAGTTCCAATATACAAAGGAAGTCTCTGTTGCGGCCATTGTCATGTTTAAACTGTATCGTTGCTCTGGGAATTGTTTGATAAGATTCCTTTAAACTTGCTTGTGTAATGAACTGTGTGATTAAACAAAAGCATACAGATGACATGAATATCACATCAGATTGCTTAACAACCAAGGAGGACTTATAGTCTCGCTATGAACTGAGACAGTTACTCAAAAAATGACTGACATTTACTGGATAATTTGCACTGACATGAAAAAGTAAGTTCCCTCTGACTTCATTTAAAGATTATTGAAAGAATTGAGAGTGTAGAATAATACAATTTGAGGAACCGTAATGGGATACATGGTTGATTCTATGCTGTGAACTGCATGGGCAAATCAACAAAGTTAATTCACCTTTAAAGCAAACCAGTTTTGCTTGACTTAATGTAAATTATAATATCACAGTGACTATTATTATTTTTATTTATATTATCACCATCATTACAGCCTGCCGGTTAGCTCAATGGATAGGGCGCTGAACTGATGTGCGGGAGGTCGAGGGTTCAAGCCCCGGCCGGACCAACACTCAAGGTCTTAAAATAATTGAGAAGAATATGCTGCCTTTCTATAATACCAAGAAATGGTTTAGATATTCTAGTATTCTCGGATAGGGACGAATAAATGGAGGTCCCGTCTCCTGCAGAGTTAGGGGTAGAAGACATTAATTTCCCACGCACGAGATTACTGTGTGATGGATGTCCTCCCCTGGGGTGGGNGGGTTGTTATCTTGCGTTTCATTCATGAGCCTCTGGCTCGAGCAATATGGGTAACCATGCCCCACGTAAAGACATTAAACTATGATTACTTATTACTACTATTGTTTGCTATTTTTTGTAAATTTAATATCATTCTATTTTCAATCCCTTTTGCCAGGAGGTATCCTATATATAGGAGGAATTTCTTTCAATGCAACTGAAGCCGTGATTTTTCTTTCATAAAGAATTTTAAAATTCTCTTTTAGACCAATTTTTTATTGGCACACTTTTAAAGGCTCTGAAAAGAGAAGTGAAGCTGGGAGGATTGAATGAATGAACAAATTCAGCTTAGTACATGCAACAAAATACACTTCTTTTGTGCAGCTACATAAATGCCTTATTGATAACGCATTGCTGTAACAAGTATTAACTTATAAACTGCTCCAGTGAGAAATACCTCTGGTCTTCTCTCTCCAACAATCCATCCATCCACTGGTTGTTTGACTGAGATATTTACTTTGGTGTTAATCCTGATAATCTCGATATAAAGGGACTGAGGAGAACCAAGCAAGGTTCTACCGGTTGATTTCTCTGCTTGCATGATTTTCTGGAAGGATTTTTTTTAAAGAATCGTTTCATTGTAAAAATTATATCCTTATCCTAACCCTAAGATTCAGTGTTAATGTTACTGCATATTTTCTTTCGCATGTATTGATACAGTATTGAAGTTTAAGAAAATGACCATTTTTTTACCTAGGTGTTGTTGTTTGCATCTTCCAAATAACAGAGGGTTTTTACCCAATGGAAGGGTAAGGGGAGAAGAAGCTTAGAAAATCTAAACCTGCTCCATTTATAAAAACTTTTGATATCTAGATACCTCAAATGATGACTCACTGTCATCAAAAACATATAAGTATACTGTGTAGTCCACACCAACTGTCCCCACTCCACCAAAAACAGCACATTGAAAGCGCTTCTTTGTTGGTTTGTTTTTATCACGTGATGTACCGATGATAACATAGGAGGTAAGGTTATCAACTTGAAAGCTGACTTCACTATTGTGGACTTGAAACTTGTTTTCTTCCTTCCATGCAATTGAGTCTTTGTGTGGTATAGAGCTTTTTAGCTTGATGTCCCAGCCATTACTTAAATATACCAAAGCACTATGAGGTATTCTGACTTGCACGGGCTCGGATAATTGCTTCCCAAATGGATGAAATTTTATCACAGGACTTAGTTGTACTTCATCTGACTCACGATGCATAGAACTTTCATCACAACATATTTCTAGTCTTATTCCTTGAGAATCATTGAAGAAACAGCTTGCATCATTGAATTGGATCATGACTCCTGATTTATCAAAATGTAATGTCCTTTGTGAACAATGAGTTGTTGGATCTTCCAATGTTATTGATTCACCTTGTAGTGCTAAAGAAAGGAAAGGGTTAGGTTTTTAAATATGGAATAGTTATAATGGTACTCTAAAATTTCCTTTATTTGAAAAAATTGATTCCAAAGGTAAAAGTACCCAGGGGTCACCTTATAGTCTTCCAGTATGTAGTTTTCTGTGATGAAAGGCCCCCTTTTTTCATACCTTACAAGCAGCCGTGAAGAGTTTTGCGTACTTCTTTGTGATCATTTTTGTCAACTAACCTTTTCAATAACACATTACATTTTCATAAATTATGAGGTGATGATTAAAACTTTACCTCCCTCTACAGATGTCAGCAACGCAGCACATGAGTCGGATCTTTGATACCTATTACTTCTGCGGTATTTTACGAGTTTTATCATCACCAGCGTCGAGATTATAGTAAAAAGTACTGCCATCACAGTCGAAAGTATTACAATGATAGAGGACTTCTCTTGTGGAATTTTCCTGTGACTATTTTGTTCCCGACACACAGTGATGGATCGGTCAGTATAACTACATTGTTTGTTTTTTGTCATCATTTTACATTCTGGAATTCGCACGTCGTCTTTATCATTGCAACAGGCAGAACATGGCTTGCATCCTGTTTCGCCACTACCATAGAATCCTTTTTCGCATTGACCACAAACCCTATCATGTGTCAGGTTGCAGGGTGTCAGTTCTTTCTGTCCAACTGAACAAGTAGAGCATGCCTTGCAAGTTTGTTTACTTTGCTGGTTAGAAAACGTTTTGCCACGAGAGCAGTTGATACATTTTATGTCATCTATGCTATTTATTATAGTTCCTTTGCCACATGGAGGAAAGGGTGATGTTCCCGCTGGGCAGGTTTTACAATTCACGCAGTGTGCACTGCCTTTTTCTTGGGTTACAACAAGGTATTGATCTTCTCTACATTTTAGTAATTGACAGCCAATCGCATTGGCATCGCATTGTTGATAAAACGGCATGTCTTTGCAACCTTCCTGCTCACTATTTTTTACGTTACAAGAGGAAAGATACGAAAAGCAAAAGGAACAGGGCTGACAATCTCCAGTTAATTCTTCAAAGTAAAATCCTTTGCCACAGCCATGTTCACACTGTGAATTCCTCATCAGGGAACAGTTCCTCTTGATGTTTTCATGATCAGAGCAAATTCCACATGGCAGGCATGAACGAATATCATGAGTAGGAGAGAAGGATTTTCCAAGTTCACATGGTTTGCATTCAATTTTTTCACCATAATTAACAAAAGTGCCACATTGTGGTGTTAGACCCATTCCAGGAGGACAAGATGGGCACTTTCCGCAGGAAACATTGCGAAACACATCTTCGATTTCAAACTCGTCATATTTACAGCTAGCATACACCTATTTAAATGCAAAGTGATACTGATTATTATGCATTTTAGGACCATGCTGATGTAAATCAACAAGATAGACACTACGTTTCCACACAGCGTGAGGAACATTAAGTTCAAACATGTTGGTGAGCTAGAGGTCGTTCGTCGTCTGCCAAACATCTTTTTACAAATAACCAGTGAGAGTCATTATTACACGACTCGGGCAGTCAGAAGGCCAATAACTAAAATCAACCAATCAAAATGCTCTATTGCCGGTCCAATATTCTCTAAGTATTGGACCCGGCACTGTCCCGAATGGTCCCGAACGATACCGCACTTGTGTCCCTTTGAACTTCAGTCGTATAATAAATCTCTTATTAACCAAGCTTGCTCGGGACCGTACTGGAAGAACATCGGCCCTCGGTCTCTTTTGTACGGACCTCGCTGCGCTCGGTCCGTACTGTCAAGACCTCGGGCCAATATTCTCCCAGTATGGCCCTCGCGCTTGGTTAATAAGATATATGTATTGCCTCTCTCCCCTTAATACTGATGCTTACTGGCAACAATCAACTTTTTTGGTTCACCCTCAGCTAGCTGGGCTTAGCAAAAAGGATTGGTGCTTTCTTTATCTTTCACTTCTATGTTATAGATGCTCGTCGATTTGGTTTGTAAAGTTCAGTTACAAACAATAGTGCTTTGCGGATGTTGAGAGCCCAAAATATATGTTGGGTTTTATACTGAGATAGATTGCAACCATTCCTCGAGATAACTTTTCTAGAACACTATTCTATAAACTATCCTATAGTTATTTGTATCGATTAGCATTTTTCACGCATACTTACACATATGGTCAATTGAAAGTGTAGTGCAATAGTTAACGTCAAATAATACTGTAAATAAAGGAGTAGGACAGACATCCTGTTCGCTCAAATCTGTAAAATAAGGATATCACATTGAAGACAAGCCATCACTTGGACAATAACGTATCACTTAATCCCATGATTAGTAAAACCTGTGGGGGGCAAAGGTGAAAATGAACTCTATCCGAAAGTGATTGCTAATGCATAATCTCAGCTAGCAATAACAAAGTTCATTGTTAGAGAATTCGAGAGTATTCGCAGCTTCTGCTTCCACTGTTAAACATTTTAACTGAAATCGTATGCGTTGTCGAAATTTTGGAACATGTATTTGTTGCTTTGGAAGGCAACGAATTATGCGAAATATATACGCGGCGTTATAACGAGTTTTTGTTAACTCTTTGGTGCTTACGTGTTGAAATAAATTACTTACTTACTTACTTAAAAGCACATACTGCTCATATGTACCTACGATTCTTTCTCATGACAGGATTAGTAAGAGATTCATGCAGGAGCAGGATACCTTAAGCAACGACGAACCCCAACTATACTGAAACACCTTTAGTTAGCGAAAGTACTCATAAGATGAGTGAAGGGGTTTCCCCCTCACATGACCACCAAACACAGCACTCGTAGACCAATCACTTAGTCTTGCTCAAAGCAAATTCCATTCACGTGGTTAGCAATTCAAGCTGTGAATGGCCCAAAATGGCACTCCTTTACGGAAACCGAAAGTGCTTTGCAAAACATTTTCTACAAACGTACATACGAATGCAAATGCTAGGAAAATTCATTTTGGAACTGAGCTTGTTTGTGTAAGGAATAGATCTTCGAAGTATTGGGTTCAAAAATAACTTAAAAGCTCTATCGTGGCTGTTTGATCTTCCTTCCGTTTCCTTGAACTAGACGCATGGACGATAAAGAGAATCCTCACTATAACACTGGTACTGTAGCTGATAATAATGGACTACAAACCTTGGAAGAAGCAACCTCAGCGATGAATTTGTGGTCCTCCTCATTAGGAATAGATCAATCACCAGCTGAGGCGACCGGCCGTTTTTCTAGACCTTACAGTAATTCACACCACGCACATGTCCGGCGAAGTAGTGATGACAGGGAAGAAGGTTTACTTCATGAGTCGGAGCATTCGCATGAAAAGCAGGGATGTCCATACCTTGATCGTATGAAGGAGCCGGTTTTGATCCATCCCGTAGGTTTAGAAAATTTAGACGAGCTTCCTATGAGAACCCACAGTCAGCCTGATGAACGTTCAAGGTTTAGAAATCGATTCGCACAGCCTATCCGAGGTACATCTTTACAGATATCAACTAGTTCTCAACAGCAGGATAAAAATATTCCCCAACAAGAAATTTGTGGTCAACGCTGCGAATTTGTATCGACCACTCGACGACCCAATGGTGTCGGTATACAAGGATTATCTGGTAAGTAAAGATCGCATGGGTCTATTGTATGGGTTGACAATGTTTTTGTATTTAATTGAAGTGAAAAAAATTGTTGTGTTATCCATCATTGTGAATGCTACACCTTTTGTTCCGTTGCGCGTTTAATACGGTCAGTTAAACTTCCAACGGAAAAGAGACCGCATGTAAATTTACTCTACCGCGCTTCCGGCATTTGTAACAAACACTGTATATAATTCGCCGTTAAGAAATTTCAGAACCAAACATACCTTAGGGTCATGATCGTATTCGTTTGTTGGGGTCCTTTTTCCTATGGCATTCTCGTGTTATAAGATGATAGAATCCGAAAGGTAACTTAGCCAAGTTGAAACCAGATAATGCCAATTATTGATGATGTCAAGTTTTGATTATTTCATAATGCTCGCGTTTTTAAGGTATATTCATCGATAACGATGTATGTTAATACACTTAATTTTCCTTAGACGATCCTGAAACGAGTCCTGGGTCCAGAAAACTGTGCTTTTTATTTCTCTTCAAAAGAGGAATCATCGCAAGAGATGATCTTTGTCACGCACTTTACATCATTCCTGTTGATGACTTCCAGAAGGTATGTTACAAATAACTACTTAATATATTTGTATACATATTACGTGAAATTAAATGTATGCTATTACGATATACAGATGTGTAAAGTTAACGATGCGTGTGATATTTGTCATTTATTGTACTATTGCTGGTTGTGCGATTATTTTTTCTCTAGTGACTTTCTCCTCAAAAAAAAAAGGAAAAGAGTTTTTTCCTTCGAATCGCCTGCTCGTAACCATATTTGTTTAATTTGTTGCAGAGGTTTCCCAAAATAAAGCAATACGAAGCTGTTGTTTGCCATGCCACGGAGTTCCCAATGGCTGAAGAAAAACTAATGAAACCAAATTCCCTTTTTCATCGTGTCTGGATTGATGGCATTTGTAAGATTCAATTTGAAATTGTCGGTGGTGAAAACTTCTCGATTGTTTCCCCGTCTGAGGTAGGTTTCTTTGGATGTCGAAGTTTTAAAATTTTATCGATCACTGCTTATATCTAAACCGTAAAGTTAATATTGTAATATTTATATACGTTTAATTAACATAATATAAAACCTTCTCGCTGAAAACCAGTCTTAATTCTCTAGTTTTATTTGCCTTTGAGTATTATTTCTTGTTGTAATTTTATGAGTTATTTATTTGACAGTTTATAAATGTCTTAGTTATAGTTTTAATGTTTCTGTTCAGGACTTGTCTGGTTATGTCAAATTTACAAACACTGCGTCTTGCAGATAATTGCAAATGTCACTGAGATCTTATCAAGGAGTAAAGATCGCGTCGGATGTGGATTAACTGACAATTAGAAGCATGATACAATAATAAACACATGACAAAGCCATATAAATTCACCTTTTTGTTTAGATCTGATGAACAACTCATGACTTTAGCAGTTAAACTGCTCCACCGATGTAGCTGGCAAAATGACGATACTTGTTACTTTCGGATAGAGTTCATTTTCACCTTTGCCCCCCACAGGTTTTACTAATCATGGGATTACGTGATACGTTATTGTCCAAGTGGTGGCTTGTCTTCAATGTGATATCCTTATTTTACAGATTTGAGCGAACAGGATGTCTGTCCTACTCCTTTATTCACAGTATTATTTGACACTGCGTCTTGCAGATAATTGCAAATGTCACGGAGATCCTATCAAGGAGTAAAGATCGCGTCGGATGTGGATTTTCAGCAGACGTACTAACCAGATGTACAGGGGGAAAAGACAAACTCTTTGAGGATAACATTCGCATAGGAATCCAATCTGGAAGCCAATCTTTCCATTTTATGCTTCCCATAGCGGTAAGTTGATTAAAAAGCTTAGACTGTTGAATGTTCCTTGTTACTATTAGCGCACTGTCTTTGTTATAATTCTTTCGCGAGGAAAGAAATACCACTACTCACAGACAGTTACATCTTAGTTACATGAATGTATGTTTGTTTCCCTCTTGTTTGTATTCAACTAGAAAAAGCTTCATAAGGGAAATGGTCAATCATCATCCTTGATTATTATTTTCTTCATTTCTCATTTCTGTTATTAATATAAGTCTTATTGTCGTGGATCATCCGTCTATATGTTGCATGTCATACCAGCTGTTGTTACTTATTCTGAAAATTTTTATTTTTACAAAACATTGACACTCTAAGTGGAATGTTTTATTTGTCTCTATTATGGAGTACCTCACATATATTGAAAAGAAAAGATGTTTTGCCTTGTCTATTTTATCAAATAACCAAAGACCCCCATATGCCTTTGAGGATAATGCTGATCATTGAACTTACGCTTCTATGAACAGAAATATTTATGTTTTACCTGATTCTATCTTTTTGTTCAGTACTACGAAGCAAATATATCACCTTGGCTTTTTAATGCACATGCAGGTAATGATATTACAGTTCGCTGGCAATTTGTTCAAATTCGTTGAGTAAAACTTAAAATTCCAGAAGTCTCTGAAAAAAGGAGGTGCTTGGTTTTTGAGACATGCCCCTTTATTCAAGAAACCGGCTTGTAACCCCGCTATAATAAGGACCTTCATAACGCACTGTGCAATGAAAACATTTTTCTTTTGTAGTTTGCAAACCAACGTGTGTTTTTTTACCAGTAAATATTAAAAGTATTAGCGAGACTATTTGCGCCAAAGTCTAAGCATTTTAGATAAGTATGCAAGTATAAACTTATAAGCTAAAAAGGACGCTGGGTTCTCTTCACTGAATGGATATTTACAAACTAATCTTAAAACAACTCTAATTGCCTAACCTCTTAATCTCAATGCAGTCACCCTCATGCCCGACGAAGACAGGGAAGTGTTGCGTTCATGCCATGTTTCTCTTCTGGAGAATATTGGGAATCCAATCTCTGTCTGTGATCACCTTTACCAACACAAGATTTTCGACAGTGGGGACTTGGAAGAGATACAGAATATAACAAGGAAAAGAGACCGCAATGCCTTTTTGTTGCATACAATTCAGACCAGGGGAAACATCTTAGACCTTGTCATCGAAATAATGAAGAGCCAGCGTGAAAACCAAGGGGCCGCTGCTATCTTGCAGGAAAAACGACACTGATGAAGATCTGCAAATTCCACGCAGTTCAACTGATCACATTAAGCATTTTTACTTATACTTTTGCTTTATATGTCTTCAGTTAACGATAACTGAGCCTTACATCTCTACAATATTGTATAACTTACTTGAAAAAAAAAAAGAAAACAAGAAAAACAAAGCAAAAACAATAAAAAAAAAACCGCTTGTGGAGAGAACAAGCTTTGGGCAACCAGTGTTTTCATAACCCTTTTCACTGTCACAATTGTTTCAGTTGTGTGGCGGATTATTTTTATTTTCATTTTTTGTGTCATTGTTTGAGCACTATTTTGTGCACAAGCATAACTCAGAAGATTGCGGAGAAGACCAATTCTTTGGCTAATGTGTTTGAAATGTTTCTAACATGCACTTCAAAATTTGTTTGTTCATCTTGCTAAAATTAATGTAAAAACTTTTCAATCTACGACCTACAAACTTTGCAATTTGGTAATTATATGGGGCTAGTCAATTGTGCTGCGCCAGGTGCTGGGTGCTTGGCAAATTTCTACTTTTTGAATCATTCTGTATTTAAAGACGAGACTGACTGGCTAAGTTCATTATCCTATTGTTAAAATTATAATACAGTCACACTCTTACAGTATATATTGATATAATGTTATACTTGTGTTGTAAGAATATTGGTATATTTGGTGCCTTAAGCATTGTGCTGTCTCTCCTGTGATTAACCCTTTAACTCTCAAGATCTAATTACGAATTCTCTCCTCTAGCTCCTAGACATTTCCTTGTTACGAGAATTTGTTGTTAGATCAGGATAACAACCTCTACCTGGTAAGTTTGGGTATTCTCACTACCTGTTTGCAGAATAATGTATGGATACTCTGGGGAGAAGTTACAAGTTAATCACTTCTGAGAATAGAAGCGCTAAGACAGGGACGGATGTTTGATTATGGTCGCCACGTGTAAAGGATGCCCGTTATTTATGATGTGATGTTTGTACATCAAAAGAATTTCGTATTTCATAGCAAATTTATAAGAAGAAGTGAATAATATATAGTTAGCTGTTGTTAGCTAAATTCAAATAAACAATTGTTTGTTTTTGTTTTGCTTTTCCCCTGAGCTGTGTTAGTGAGTTGAAGTTTTGATATTTCCCTGAAAAGTTCTGCTTTGATTCCCACCATAGCCATTGAGTGAAGTCGACAGTACAGTCCATCGTCAACTTGTCCACTAATTTGCACTGAGCCTGCTCATACTGTATTGTTCTCCAGCCCTGTACAACCAGGGTCTTGAAATAGTTGCCTTTCTCATTAGGCACAGACCTCATTAAGTAGTATAAAATATCTTGGTTGCAATGACACTCGCAAGCAGCCGCCATCGCAGCCAGTGTTTTACAAGGCAAGATTGATGATGATTAAAATAAAGTGACGAGTATTTTCTAATTGACATTTATTACTGATTTCATATATAGTATAGTATTCATATATAGGAAATTGCTACACTTGCAGAGGAATAAGCAGGATATTTTTTCCCTAGAGCGCCCCGTATCGAAACGTCCAGGTTCGAACCCAGGCCAGGTCACCGGGTAGTGTAAGAAAACAATCTCTCCCTCTACCCAGGGGAAAACTGTCAGGTAATCTGAAATGCTGGAAGGTAGCTCTATGATAAATGGACAAACATCCCTTCCAAGAAGGGTTACCAATATTCCTTCACACCTCATAATACTGAAGGTGGGATCAGTTTGGTAGGGCTAATCCTTCTGGATCGTTTATACTTCTGTGAACAAAAGTTATGTTCATGATTGTTATCCCAGCCTTAACATGCAATTTTGGCTAACATATAAATGTTTTCGAATGAGATAACAGGCTTCTGTAAATTTGGGTGGCCATACAATACTTTTATCACCAATAACTAAAAATGAAATTATTTTAAACTGTGTCTTGAGCATTACTTCTGAAAAACAGTTATACTTTTATGCCGTGAAAACGAAGTTTAGTTTGAAAGTTTCCGAAAAGTATCAGTAGACGTTCATCGATATATAAAAGCGTTGACTATTGAATTAAGGATTTGCTATCATATTATGTTTCCTGTTCTCTACCAGTTATGACTGAAACACTCATTGTACCACTCAATAATGTTTCCTAAATATTTATGTTCATTATAACATTTTAACTATTAGGGTCGCCAAAGGTTCGTGTATGACCTAGGAAAAGAAGGAATAAGTTACGGTTAAAACATGATATCAATCAACTTAACGTCAGCCATACATTCAGTACTTGCCTGTTACTCTTCCACTTTCTCAGGATCAAGTGCTCTTACCAAAGGATCTCCTAAAATTCTCTACAGAAAATAGAAAGAAAATTTATCAGCTAGGCTAAGTATACCAAATTGACCAAACAGATGGTAGACTTCAACTTTTCTTCGAAATTTAGTGCGACGATGTCAAATTACAAATTTGAACATCAGCAAAATCCTTTTGACAGGAAGTTAAACTAGCATAGTTAGGTGCTTATCTAATTTGTCACTCTTACGAGAAGAAGAGAAACCACTTCGTTAAACTGGTTGAGAGGTGCCTCTAGGGAATGGCCTCAAGTTATTTCTCCAAATATTTTCAACTTAAAAGACATAATATTCATCATTACGACATTAGGAATAGGAAAAAACTTGTCATCGATAGGGTTAATTCAGGATCGAAGAAAGAGCGTTTTTTTGTAAAGGGGCAGATGTTTTAATAATTGTGTATGACTCTAGTTCTAATCCTCTTATGTCTTTTTATATGTATATTTTTAGATTCTTATAGAGTTTGTTTAATTTTTGCATATTTATCTTTGTAATTTTATTAATTCTGCATTTCCTTATTTTACGCAGGACCCATGTTGATAGCAGTTTTTTTAAGTGAAATGGTCGTTTTGCATGAATACATCTTATTATTATTATTATTATTATTATTACTATTATTATCATTATCGTTATGATTAAAAAAACACAAGTGAGAGTCTAGTATCTTTATAAAAGGAAACGAACACAAATGAACTCAAAGTTAAATACGTTCAATGATACTAAGTCTATACGCTGGTTTGTATTGTCTCGCCTTAACCCCTTCTTGACCCCACTCCCCCTCTGCGTTACTGTTCGCGCTGGCCTCAGAAATGTTTGTCGGGCCGTAAAAGGTAAGAGAGTTAAAATATGGGCTAGATACATCCATACCTTTTTTAACGATGCAGATGCGTAGATTGTTGTTTCACCTGATGGTTCATGATTTAATACCATTTCAACAAAAATGCTGGTGCTTAGTGTCTTCCTGCAATTTTGGAATACTAGATCACACCGAGGAATTACGTTAAACGAGTTCCTCAATGATTCATAGCTGAATTTCTAAAATTAAAATGAAAAACATATTTAGAATTCAATGTCAGAATTTCAATGTCAGAATTTCACGAGCAATATTATTCAACTTCTGGAAAATTTATGGAATAACCTAACGAAAAATAGATAAAAATTGCGAATTCCTTCGATGAGATGAGAAGCCTCTGCTAAAATCAAGTTATAGAGAAAAGGCATGAGATACAGAATTTGACAGAGATGGTAATTTACTGCATCTTTCTTCTCATTTCTCCTACATATGCAATCAAAATTAAATCAAATCTAAAGGAAGAAAAATACTAGACGAGTCAGATTAAGAATACAACACAGTTTTTAAAACTGTGTTGTATTCTTAATCCGTGAGTGGTGAGTGGTGTGCCTAAGAATGCAAATGAAATGTTATTGGCAATACCAGTGGAGATGCCTTCTTCATCTGCCAGCCTGCAAGATTTTTTACTGATATGTCAACATCCTTTCCACTGGTAACAGAAAAGCTGACAGATTCGATCGGAGACATGAGTCTTCCTCCAGTCTTCTGCTCCGTTCGCATCATCCTCTATAAGCATCAAAAATTAGCAAAGAACATTTACCTAAAGTCACTCAGTGATTGTGATAGACCTTTTTTCAAGGAGAATTACAAATCGTATTGCTAATTGAAAAAAAAAAATGATAAAGTATAGCCAGATCTTTACATCAAAAGCCCCCTAAAACAATTTAAAACCTTTTTGTTTAAGATCCTATCTGCATAGAATGCACATTAATTGGCACCAGTATTCTAGTTTGAATGGCAGTTTTGTGGTGCTATGTTATGAAGTAGAGTGCACAGTAACACTCTTCTAAATCAACATAAAATGAAAACATACCTCAAAAGACCATTCACAATCATCGAAGCAGTAAACTCTTACAACAAGGTCTTCTCCAACTCTGGTTTCACTGCAGAATGCTACAACCTTCATTCTTTTAAATACAAAAGTCGACTTTGACGTATCAATCTTCCCAATTAATTTGAAAGTTGACAAATGGTCAGTCTTGAATCTTACATGATTGCTTTTACAAACAAAGTTCTCTGATTCTTGTGTTTTGCTACTTTTACTAGTTTTGCCAACAGTTAACCAACTGTCGTTTTCATACTCCTTTAACATTACACTCCAGTTTTCGCCTGTCAAAACAATGTTTGCACCATGAGGTATCCAAACTTCCAGTAGTCTGTCCAACTTCATAGCCCTTGAAACAAATTTATATACTGGGCTTAGAGGCAATTCATCTTCCTGTAGATGGTCAGGCAGCACTGCTTCAGGGAAAGCTTGCAACATCAAATTTCTCGGCGTCCATTCATCGTTGAGTGTCAATCCATTAGGAACCTTCATTTCCATCACTTCCACCCCAGTCCTCTGAAATAGTATATGCGAAGCACTTCGTCGCACTGGATATTCAGAAAGCACGTCGCTTTTGCTAGCTAATAGATTAAAACAAAAACACTAAAAAAATTAAACTTAATTATCAAGTAAAGGGGGGTACGGTTTACAAAATATCTTGCTGTCTTTTTGTCACTCACCAGACTGTGTTGTTTGTTTATGTTTAGGTTCACAACGGTTCACTGACTGGTCTCTGTCGACCAAACGGCTGTCAAATGAAAAAAAGCTGTAGACAAAGTAAAGAATCAGGAGGCTGAATCCGAAGCTAAATGCTTGAGTTGTAATGCTGTCAAGCACCAGGGAAAGGCCATGTCCACGATGGTCTTCCTGACAAAGTATGACTGAAGACACTGACCCAACCTATAAAAAAGATTAAAAAAATCATAAAATAATAAAGGTGGTCACAATCAAAATAGTGTACATGTTAAGGAGGAGATAAATGCTGCGCAGGATCTTTCGCTCTGAAATAAATTTGATATCAATAGAAAGGATTTATCAACCCTCTGTATGTCAAATGCTGGTGCATGGTACAAAGAAACGAGCTCCGGTTAGCTCAATGGATAGAGCTGTTATACGGGAGGTCGAGGGCTCGAGCCCCGGCCGACCAACACTCAGGGTCTTAAAATAATTGAGAAGAAAAGCTACCTTTCTATAACATCAAGAAATGGTTAGATATTCTAGTCGTCTCGGATAGGGACGAATAAATAGAGGTCCTGTCTCCTGCAGGGTTGGGGTAGGAGACTTTAATTTCCCACACACGAGATTACTGTGTGATGGATGTCCTCCCCTGGGGTGGGATGGGTCATAGGGTGGACTTGAAATCTGTCTGACGAGGGGGATTCCCCGGAAGGCGACAACCAATCAAAGTACGAAGAGTGGGTCACGAGAATAAAGATTAGTTTTCGTCTTTCGAGGGATTACATCATTTCTGGTTTGAAGATTGAATTGAGGTTGGAAACAAACAGAAGCAATGGCTGCAGCAGACAACAACAAACACAATATGGTAAATTCTAAACACTGTTAGTGATTTTCCCTCTCCGCTTCTAATTTGTCGGTCTATTTCGGCCGCTTTTCTCTAATTGCTTCACTTTCGAAACAGTTATTACATTCGCATCACTAACTTTAAATTAATTCGTTTTCGGTACTCTCCGTTTTAATATAAATAGAAGATTTTTTACCGATGGCTGCAACAACAATATTCATTTCATTTCGTAGAACGATGGAAATAGAGATGAGTCCCTAGAGAGTGAAGGTAACAACGAGGGGCTCCTCGCTGTAGGGAGTCATGCACAGAATAAATCTGACGACGACTCCAACTTGGAGGAAAACTTGGCTAGGACAGCACATAGGAATGAGCTTTCAGAACAATCACCTAAAGAAAATGAATTGCGTTGTTGTAGTTGTGAAGGGCAACCTAATTTGACGCCCAACGCTGCACCTGAAATGGTCTGTCGGCTATGTGGTAAAGCGATAGTTCGGAACCGCACTCAGCAAGGAAAATTCAACAGATCGCACGTAAATCCGACCAGAACGGAAGAAACATTATTAAGCGTTGTCCCTCAGTCGTACAGTGGACATTTGCCTTCGCTCCCCAGTGTGTCCCTAGAAGATGAGGCGTGCAGCACCTCGACGCAAGCAGCATCCTTAACAACAGTTTCATCTGGATCTCAGCGAGATAAAATCCCTGTAATAAGTAAGTTCGATAACTTTGAGGTGTTGTGTTCAAAGATGGCGTGTGCAGATTGTACTGCTCTTTCCGTTTACAGTTCAGGAGTTAGGATTTTGATTTGTCGATTTGAGAAGTATAATGCAGCAATATTCAACCCGTCAAATTAGTGATCGAATTAAAACCCCTTCAAAGCTCATGTAATTGTACATGTACAAGTTACCGAATCTTGCTCCATCCAGAGAAGTCTCTAACTTTAAATCCGCTTTACCTTCCATTTTGACGTTGAGCGACGTAAAAGTAAAATTAAGCATGAGATAAGTTTTGCAAGTTTTGTTCAGTTACATGAAACTCTTTCAATATGTACATCTAATCGATATTTTTACGGACTAAACTACGTCACAACTAGGCTAATTTGCATCTACGTTATGAACACATCTAACTTCATTCGATATCCATCGCAGATCTGTGTCACCATTCGGTTCAGCATCCATCGGCTGGATTAACAGTGGTGCTCTTCCTATTCGAAAGAACCCACCACGAGAGGAAAGAGAAGTTGTTTATACTTTATATGATCCCTAAGAAAGATTGGCAGGTGAGTGTAATTTATATTTCTTCTTAGTTGGAAGTTTTCAAAGTCAAATAGTTCTTGACATGCCCAGTTTTTTTCCTACAGGTGTATGACACAATTCGCCAGAGTTACGTAGATGAGGGGACCAGGCAAGCTTACTCAACAAGACAAATTTCATTTTGCGTAAACAATGGAAGAAGCCAAGATTTTCACACTGTATTTGTTCGCGAGCAAATCAGAATTTCGTTTCAAATTGAGGATCACCAGCGAGAAACCTTTGTCACTCCTGTGGATGCAAGAGGCCGAGACTTTGTAAGTACAAACATATTTAAAATTCATAAAGTAAAATCTTTACACCAGATGATGGTATTCGTGAAATATTTCATATTTTTATATCTTAGAACCTTCACCAAACATTTAGTTTCTATAGGTGTCCAGATCTTTTTGGACACCCCCTATTTCTTTAGAATCAAGAGTAGACACTATTGTGCTTTGTTTTCTTACCATTTCTTGTCAATAAGCCTTCTGTTGTCGAGCAAATAGGGGATTCAACTTCTCTTTAAATTGTGCTTTTCAAGGCTTGATTGATTGATTGATTGATTGATTACAAATTGATCAATTGCTGATACTTAAGGTTTTCAGAGTTGCCAACATTGAATGTGAAAGCAACAATCGAGTGGTACCAGGTGCCAAGTCCCATTTCCGAGTCCAGTATGTTGGTGACTCCGAAGACCCTTGTCAACAACAAGGAAAAATCACCTTAGCCATCGATGCAGAGACACAGTGCTCCCTGTACTTTTCCATCGCTTTTTGGGTGAGTCTCATTTCCTTTAGAGTAATTTTTAATGAACAGCTTACGATAACAACAAAATAACAAAAAAAAGCTCTTAAGAATCCATTATTATGAGAAAGCTATTAAGTAATTTTATAACATTTAATTCGTCGGGAAAGTAAACTGCTTTGCACAATCTGCGATGCAATAGAAAGTAATAGTTTCTGTTTTAAGACATTTCTATATTCCGAGTTTATTTTGATCTTACATAATAAATTTTTTTCAACTGAGTTTAATACCAGCATCTGATTAGAGGTGACAACACTGGAAATTCTCATGAAATACTCCTGGTATCTACTGATTACTTTTCTGATGACTTAACTATTGCAACAATCAGTCACTGCGCAAATTGAAGTTACACTTTACAGTCAGTAACTCATAGACCCCCATACAAACCTTACTTGGTTCCATTCTTGGTTTTAATTTCTAACCTCACTTTTCGTTTTTCAGGTAAACCTATGGCTGGTGAATGGAAACTAAAGCTTTGGTTGAAGTTAGCATTGTCACTCTTGATACTCTTGGTAGTCACCAAAAGCATAAAGTGTTACAGTGCCAATTCTTACTTTCCGTCTGTTTAAAATGTTATCACGTAGAATAAGTTTACCAGTCATGAGTTCATAAGCAAAGCAGTGATCGGAAATATGCTTTCTGGCAATGGGAATGTTCTGCCCAGAGGTTTGAAACCTTACTTTGTTAACACAGTGCCTTGAACATATAGGATATCTTTTTCGCACACCTTTCTTGGGGCTAGTTACCTAAACCTTTCCCATAGAACCAATAAATCGCTTTGCCATGCCGTAAAAACAAAACACATGATAGGAGAAACACTATCAAAGCATAAATCGTACATTAACTTATCCCTTAGACTTGATTTTAAGAGCTGGGTCAGTTGAGGCTAACCCCTGTGATCCTTGAGTGATATGATATCTATTCCCATTTCCTGTGGTATGAAGCAACTAGCAATTTCTCTACTCCTCCTGGATCGGATGTTAGTTCATTACAGGCTACCCCTAGCATTTTTTCTTAGTTTCTCTGACACCTCGGTGGTACTCATTTATTCTTCTAGGCGGAGAGGAATTCATCGACCTAGCCAGAATTTGAAAGTGTACCTCCCAGTCCAGGGTTTAGCCCAAGTATCGTCGGTCACCCCATTCTCCACCTATTGTTTTCAAACCTAGATGGATTTTTTATCAACCATTTTCCATGGAGTAAAGATAGCATGACCTGGCTGTACACAAGATCCCTCACGATAAGCCGAGTGGTCAAGTCTTGGTTGGGTCTTTGTGTTGTGTTATTGGGATAGAAATACACTGCACTTTCGCATTTCCTCTCCTCGCCCACGACAATAAAAAGGTGCTGGTAACTTTTTAAGAAACTTAAAAAAATGTCAAGGGTAACTATGCAATAAAGTAAAAAGCACCCAAGGAGAGTTTTAATACTCATATAGACATCTCATGCAACTTGAACCAGGACAAGTTCTCGCAGAACAGGTTTTTACAGTATTATACCCCGGGAAATGCTTTAGTCAGCACTAAACTACCAAGCATTGAACGTTACAATGAAAATATTTGTAAGAAGACCTTTAATTCTATTTTAAATGATAAGAGTAACCGGTTAAGAAATCTTTTACCCTCAGCCCATAAGTCGTCTTACCATCTAAGACGATGCAGGCGTTTTGAAACACCAAGGTGGAAAACAAATAGGTTCAGGGACACATTTTTAATGAAATCTTGTATTGAGCATGATATTATATAAATATAGCTTTATTAATTTTAATAANCATCTTCTCATTTCTACAGGTAGCACATTTGCTGCATGAAAATCATGCTATTAATGATCTAATGAATCTATAAGTACACACAATTTATGGATGAAGGAGTATCAAACATTGAATTCATTTAACGTCAGACAATTAGAAATGTTCAATTGAAACCTGCTACTTTTAAAATCATCTTACAATTAGCAAAATTGACAAAAATTGGAATATAGTGACCTAGTGACATATTTACGAATTCTAAAACAATACCAAAAATGCTTGGTGTTCTTGACCTTAAAGAAAGATGTAAAACTTCTCAGTTACAATAATGCGGCTGCCAGGTTTCTTCATTCTGTTTGGGAGAACTTCAAAAACCCCTACAGAGTCCATTTAAATATTGGATAGAAAAGAACAAATGGAGTGATGTTCCATTCCATAGACAACATCCATAGACATATCCATAGGATAAGACAGATTTTGTATATTTGACAACGGAAACATTGTATACATGGACAGATAAACATAAAGCCGGCATAACAGGTACACTCTTAGATACCTCAGTGCCTGCACATGTTGCTTGATGTCCAAAATACGACTAACTTAACATTCCAAGTACAAAACAGAATTTTGTCAGATCATATTTTGTAGTATGAAAAATACAACTTACAAAGAGTTTTCTTTTTAATATCATGAAATAAAACTTGAAAAAAATCATTTTTTTAGTATAAAAGAATAAAACATTAAAAATATCCCCTTGATAAGATTAGAAAATAAAACGTTCAAAATCATTTCACTAAACAATGATAGCTGTTTCACCCTTGTACAAATAGTTTCATCCCTGTCACCAGTTGGAAATGTTCATTCGTAACTATGTACGATAATTGTTACACGAAAATTACCTCATATAGACAACTACACCCCAGGTAATGAGATGCCACTTAGAACAATCACGACACGTTAGAAAATTAACAACAATGAAATTTCCCATATGAGCAACGTTAAGTAACAGTGATCAAATCTCAGCTGAGCTTAAATCCAGGCTGAGATTCTGCCTACAAAAAGGAAGCAAACTATGTTCTGCCAAACATGTCAGTTAGGTAAGTGGGCGCATACATAGAGGTCCTGAGGAGTAGAACCAGCACCATCTCGTGGCCATTTTCAAAGTTAATCCCAATGAAACTCAAAGAAATTTTACGGCAAAATATTCAGTTATGATATATCAAATAGCAACTAAATATACATTACCATGTCAGTTGATTCTTTGGTGGCCTTTGCATCAAATGCTTTTAACTTATCAGCAGCATCAGTTCTCCTTGCTTTTTCCCTCACCACAGTAGCAAACTCCCCAACCGTCAGTTCTGGCCTTTCAGCCACCAACCCTGCAATTACTGCTTCTGATTTTCCATCCTGAAACCACGCTTTTATTTTGGTGTAGCTGGCACCATAACAATGAGCAATTACCTCATAGGAAAGTCCTCGACAAATGGGTACGCCTAAAAGTTCGCAGATTTCTTCCAGTTCACTAGAGTCTAATAAGTCTCTTAGAGGCTTGGAATCTGAAACAAAAGTGAATCAGAACAATATACGTTGAGGAATACATATGCGCGGAATATATTGGCTCAAAGGTTCTGTAATTAGACTGAATACTTTTAATATGTTCGTTTTACTCACTATACCTCTCCACTATTATATAACTTTACTCAAAATACTTTTTCCCAAATAACTGAGATTCAATTCACGTTTTGTACAACGAAGGACTAAGAGGACAAATGAACTTTACAAGCACTCTGAAATTTAAATTACTGCCACAGCAATTCAACGTTATCACTAGAGTCTTCAACATCAGTAAGAGCTCAAACTTGTTCTATTCAAATTGGATTAAGTTCCTGCAAGGCCTTCATTCTCTCAGCCCTGAATTTCTGCAAATAGCTTAATTATGCAAATTCCCCGTGATAATAAATGTAATCTTAGAAACTCCACCATTCACATGCAAATATTTAATCTCTCCATTAGTTTAATAGTGGTTAAATTTGTGAGAAGGATTCAGGTCCACTTTAGGAATGCCAAACATAATAACTACCTGACTTAAGTGCCTATATCTGAGAAAGTGTTCCAGGGGCCAGAAGTGGTGGTCAACCGATTCGGCTGAAACTTGGCACAAATGTCGAGTGTGATACGATATTTCAAAAGCCACTTTGGCTCGCTTGTCTGACTGTTTGCTCTGGAGTTTCAGGGGGGGGTTCCATTTGTGGCCTATGGAGCACCAAAAATTCATCCTTCTAGTTGGCATTTTGAAGGTGCTATAAAACCTCATTGGTAAACTGTGCTGCCAAACGAATTTGACCATGGACTCTACTATAGCGGAGCTTTTACTTCATAAATATAACTTTGTTCTCAAGTGATTAGACAGAGAAGGGGCTTGGGGCTAAGGTTAGGTCAAATTTTAGGTCAAAATCATTACCCAAAATTGACATTTTTCAAAAAACCATAGCACTCATCTGCCTTCTTGCATAACTTTCACACCAAATCCAGTATGTACTTTAGTCACTAAAGTACATATCTAAATCACTTGAGAAAAATTAGGCTTATTAAGGTTAGTAAGGTTTTTGGCACAAACTCTCCATGCCCCTCTAAGGCCAAGCAAAATGGAGTTTTGAGCATAATTCATGCTCTAAACAGACCAAATTCTTGACATAAGGCCTTAATTTTGTATTAGGTGAGTGAAAATGAAACATCAAGCCAAATCAGTGTCATAATCTAGAAATATTTCGACTTATAGCTTACAAATGCACTAAGAAGGCCTCTGATTAGCACTATAAATACCTTGTGGGTTAGCAAAAGAAAGTAACGTAATAAACTGAATGAAAACCTTGTACCCATCATAGGGCACAAATGATGATGACGATATTTTTTAAAGGTGCTTGAATTTTCTCTGATCTATGTTTGTTAGGCCATATTTCCATACGAATCATACTCCAAGCATGCAAAGTCTATATTTTGTCAGGCCGTTTTTTACTTGAAAATAAAATGACCTTAACCCGGCCTGAACGGTTAAGCTAAGAATAAAACGATCATTAAAAGATGATTCACGTCTGACCTTTGAATAGGCTGAATAGCTCTCGCAAATACCCATCACTACGCGAGCATGACCATGCATGCATAAGCTTACGTGCTGCAGTGAGCACCGTCCAGGTGACTTGTGATCCACCAGAGATCTTAAGAGCGACCGTCCGTAAATATCGCCCGGAGGTGTGCAATATGAAAAAAACCAAAAACCACAAACTTTGCCAGAATATAGGTCTGGGTGAACTATTTCTAGAAAAAATACTTTGAGTTCAATTGCTCTTTTATTTTTCCCGAACGGCGGCAAAATCGGTTTTGTGACTCTCACGTCAGCTTCACGAGGTTTAGATAACCATTATTTGAACGGCGCTTGAAAATAAACAACACGATAAATTTGACTAAATATTTTTTTTAACAAGATGAACACCTATTTACAAACGGTCTGAAGTGTTCTTTGTTCGATTCCGTTACAATCTAAATTTTTGGGGATTTTTTGGTGTTTTCCAATATTTCACTCATTTTGGCAGACAAGAAAATGGCAAAACTGAGAGGGTAAAATCGCACTTTGCTACATGGCATGGGGTTATATCAAGTTCATCCAGCGAAAGAACAAGGTTTCTTCTTCAAATAACTCCAATAAAATTTTTGGGCTACTCAAACTACGAAACCTTAGGACCCCAAACAAAAGTGACTCTTAGGTCAAAACGCACCATTCCTTGTCACGCAATGCGAGGTGAAAAATCAACAATGCTCTCGTGGAAAAGATAACAGACCGCTTTGGGAGCGAAATGTCGTTACTGATCTGAATAAAAAGTTAACTTTGATCAACATTTGTCGTTTCTGCTGCTCAGGTTAACTGAGATTTAAAATTTTATCGGTTATTTTCGAAGCAAAACAAACGAAAATGTAACATCGTCTAGTTCGAAGCGGCCAAGGACGGATACAAACAGTAAAATAAATATGTTTGCCATATCTACAATTTAATTTGTGTATTTTTTTATAAATTTGTACATATCATGCATCAACGCCAAATAATAATTGTGTATTCGCTGCGTCAACTGCCCTCTGCTGTCTCGAAATGTTCAGTAAGGATTGCGTGACAGGCAGACCCACAAGCCCTGGGCCACAATATTACGAGAGCAAGCGTCTTTACCAGAAACACTGGCACTCTTCCTATATATTCAGCTTTTCTTGTTTGGGACGTGAATTTTTCCCTTTATTCACCCCCCCTCCTCTTTTTCATTCACTGATCTGTTGACTTTTTACACTTTGATTCGGAGTATTGTCACAGGCGGCCCAAGCTCTCTTTGAGAACCACACGAGGAACACAATTTGCATATCGATTTATAAGGATTTGTATGGGATTTTCTACAAGATATCCATAGAGATAGTTAAAAGTGAAAATATTAAATAAAAATGGCTTACCTTATTCCATACGTGTGTTGCTTGCTCCTGGTGTCGTCATTTTACCGATTTGACTTGATTTAAGCAGTTTTTTTTTAATCCTGGTCTTCTCTTCTTAAGAAGAGAAAACCAGGATTAAAAAAATTAAATAGTATACAAGGTGTTCCTACACCAATCAATATTTAAAAAGTACCCCTGGTTAGATAAGCTTTGAAAGCTTATCTGATGAAGCTTGAAAAACAATGTCATCAGATTGGTGTATGAAAAAGAGGAGGGGGTAAAGTAAGCGGAGAAAAATCCCTCACAAGCCTTCAAGTATAATTTAAGGGTCCCAAACAATTGGTACTGAATATGAAGGAAGAGTGCTCGTGTCTATGGTAAAGACGCGTGCCCTTGCCGCCTGTCGCGCAATCCTTACAGAACATTTACATCAGCAGAGGGCAGTTGACGGCTCCGGCTTTTGAAGCGAATACACAATCCGTGTTCCTGCACAAATGAAGATATTAAAAAATTACAGACCGCTGATAGATAAGCTTCGAAAGCATATTTGATGAAGCCTGTAAAATAAAAAACCATTTGAAAAAGACATGGCGGGCAATATTATGTCCCTATACATTACATTACGAGCCAAAGTCCACTGGTCATGGACACAAAATCCGTGACTGCTGGTTTAAGATCACGCGCGCATTTTTTTTTTCGATAGTACCTATTATGACGTGTGGTTGCATGTTCAAAAACATTTGTATAAACTGTTCTTTTCTTTTCTAAATTACGTTTCTTTGTTCTTGAAATTGCTTTAAAGAATTTTGCTGCTTGTTTTCCACGACATAGGTGCCAATAATTAACTCTGACCGGTTAATCCTGCACACCCCAAACCAAGAATTGTTTTTGGGAACAATAAGGGAAAGTTGAGATCATTGCTAAAGTTATTTATATTTTTTTTAATCTTCAGAAATGTCTGTGCGAGTCGATCGAGAAAATCTGATCTGGATCATTGCTAATACTGAATCTTGCAAAAATTGGATCGTAGGAAGAAGCAAGATACGTGCGTGCAATATGCAACAAAGACAAGACCAATAAAGATTCAACATAAACACAAGATAATATTGGAAACGTTGAGTTTCAGCGAGGAACTGATCTGAGTTCGCTTTTATAGGAGATATTTAAGAACCCGTAATGGAGCCCAGGAGATTTGAATGAATGAATGAAAAACTTTATTTAAGTGTTTAGGTTTTTAGCTATAAGCTAATGGGGGACACTAAAAAATTTTAAAGTCACATACATTTACATATGCAGATGATAGTTATTTGCAGTAGATAATTAAAAAGATTATAACGTTATTTAGTTAAGTTTTAAATTTCAACGAGGGTTGAAAGGTCGACTTTTCTTACGTTCTTCTTGAACGAATTTAGAGTTTCTATCGTTCTTAGGTGTCTTGGTAACTTCGACCAGATGAGAGGTCCCATATATTTAATAGAATTCCTACCAAATCTTACAGTTTCGAATCTTGGCAGTTCAAAGTCACTGTTCCGTAAATTATATTGAGTGTTCTTTATATTAAATAAGTCAAAAATATTCTCAGGTACGAGACTGTGCTTAACTTTAAACATCAAAGTGGCAATGTCTTGTAGGCGCCGATTGTTCAACGTCGGTAGTTTGGCGCGACTTAGCAGTTCTTGATAGGACGCTGATCTAGTTTTGTACACCGCCCTGAGTGCTCGCTCCTGAATCCGCTCAAGCTTTCTCCGATCTGATGCATTACAAAAGTGCCATACTAAATGACAGTAGGTTAGATGGGGCAGAATTGAAGACCTGTAAAGTGATAGTTTAGCATTACAGGGTATCAAATTGCGTAGCCGCACTAGGACCCCTACTTTTTGACTGGCCTTAGAGCATAGATCACTGATATGACTAGTAAAACTCAATTTTTCATCTATTTGAACTCCTAAAAGCCGTATTTTCCCCATTCTGTTAATAGTATGACCATCAACAGAAAAATTTTGATTATCGTTGTCTTTGTCAACATTTCTCGGGTTGATCGTTAATAGCTGGAACTTTTCTGGGTTGGTTGAGAGATAGTTGTTCTTGTACCAGGATAGAGCTTTCTCTCCATGTATCTTGATACTTTACGCGACAACGTCATGCTTCTTCCCCGTGACATACATCTGATGGTCGTCGGCATACATGCTCCAATTAGCATTATTTATATGAAATGACATATCATTTTGGAACAAATTCCACAGAAGGGGGCCAAAGGACGAGCCTTGCGGGCAGCCAAGCACCACCCTTTTCCAGTCACTTGTCACTCCTTTTATTTTCACTCTATTGAGCCTATTGTCAAAGTATGATCTAAGAAGGTTGAGAGAATTTTGTCCAATGCCATAGGCCTCGAGTTTCTTTACGATTAGAGAATGGCTGAGAGAGTCAAAGGCTTTACTCAAGTCAGTAGACAGTATGTACACCAGTTCCTTTCTGTCAACAGCTGATTTCCAGTCTTCCACGAGTCTAAGTAGAGTGGTCTGACAGCTATGATGTCTTCTATAAGCTGTCATTCTCTGATAGAGAGTTGGATGCCTTCTTTATTTTTTTGTCTGTTTTTTTTTTCAGGAGACTACCTAATAATCTGAGAGATTTAGTATACTTGATATTGACTGTGAAAATGATGAATTTGGCGGAGATTTCAAGCTTTTACCGGGGGCGTGTTTGAATTATTTTATAAAGCAATGTTTCGTTCATTTTCAAACGGTTCACTTTCAAATTGTGACATTAGCTTATTTTTTAGACAATTACTTTGTTTACGCTAGTGCACTTGGGAAGTCTTTTATTTGTTTTTTTTTTGTTTGTTTCTTTCACTTTTGTTGTCAATCCGTGTTGTCAATACATAAGCCAGAAAGTTCGACAGGTCCGTTAAAAAGTGAAGTAATGAGAATGTCTCCATATTGTTATGCACGTCATTCTCTGCTATTGTACAAATGAGGCTCGAGAACTTCCACAGCATCGAAGCGCTGAATTTTCCTTTCTTGTAAAATATGCACAAATTCTGCTACAGTGAACTGTGGAGACTTCTCCATCAGTGCCTCCAACATAACAGTGCAAGGACTTCCATCCGATGTCAACATTTCATTTCGGAAAATCTGAATCTCTTCCTCAGTGAATCCAAGGCATGTTGCAACATGCCTCCAATTGCCAACTCCCTTCAGGAACATATCGAGTTTCTCACTAAGAGCTTGAAGTACCTCTTCTGGGAGATCTTTAAGACAAGGTGATGGTTTGTCTTGGTTGATGATCAGTGGGTCTTCAAGAGAGTAAAATGGCATCAATCAGTTGAGTTAAGGCAACTTGTTCGAGGTAAGTTACATTGCAAGTCATGAACTTGTCTTGGAGAAATGTAAAACGCAGAGATTTAAAAACAAAAAAGTCAAGTGAGCTACTTCCCTAAGATCTTAAGTAAACACTTTTGAAAATTGAGCTTTCTCTCTGAGTTTCTCACTTGTATACATTTTCCGGAAATCCTCCCTTTTCATCGTGGAAAAGTAGACATTGTAATATTTGATGTCAAACCCTGGGTAGTCTAATTGGCAAAATGATCAAATGTACACAGATACTTGTGTTGGTTTTCTTCCTCCAGGGAGACCAGTTTCTTAACAACATTAAAAAACTAGATGTGCCTAACTATTCATAATTCAAACTTTTGACATTTTTTGATTTTTACATCGGTCTTTCTATGACAATTTTGTTTTCTTTTAGAACTAAATCTCGGTTGAATATGCTTTATACTCTTGAGAAGGAATGACAATGGAAACTATTAAAAAAGGAGCTTTCTAACACTAGAACGTGATTGATACACTGTTCAGTTGGATGTATGTGAACATGGATATTCCTATAATATACCACTTTATACGGGTTTCCCCTGATTAGCTGACAACTCGGAATTATGACTTTTGTAGGAATGAGATCTTATGAATACACACGTATATCAACTTGTAATTTCAGAACGACTTATGTTATGCTGTATTCTGTACACTCAGGTTCTCTGTGAAAAACACAGGGCTACATTGCGGCTATTGGAATTAAAATGCAAAGTCTGTGGTCCAGAAATACCATGTTTTAGGAAATAAAACTTCATTTAAAAATTTTAATTTTTTGATCAAGCAAGAGGTTGATAACTATCACTGGCTTCCCACGGTAGCTAAATTGTGATGTTGAGTACCAATAACTCAGTTATAAAATTGTTGTGGTCTTACCACACAAGTTTCTCCCATTCACTATTGGATAACTGTCATCAACACATCCTGGTTGGTGCCCTTGAAACTTTCCATATGGATCCTACAAAGAAGGAGACAAAAAATTAAAATTGTGCAATTGAACAATGTTTTAGTTTCTCATGCATGTATGAGATATGACATTATTGTATCTTAAGGCTTTGAAAATAAAATCTACGAAAAACACATTACACTTAAGATCTTCATAGTTGCAAAAATCAATTGCCACAAATTTCATTGTTAATATAAATGATAAAAAATATCATGCTAGCTGATAAATCTATTGACTAAATTTATGTGAAATAAACTTTTTCAAAATTATTTTGATAATTTCAATTCATATAGATTATCTTTTGAAAAAACAAAGCATTTACCTCTCTAATCGAGGCAACTGCGCAAATTGTTGTAGTTGTATCTTCAGCAGTAAGTTCCAATATGCAAAGGAAGTCTCTGTTGCGGCCATTGTCATGTTTAAAGTGTATTGCTGCTCTGGGAATTGTTTGATAAGACTCCTTTAAACTTGCTTGTGTGATGAACTGTGTGATTAAACAAAAGCATACAGATAACATGAATAATACAGCAGATTGCTTAACAACCAAGGAGGACTCAGTAGTCTCTTTGTGAACTGAGACAGTTACTNTATGTACATTTTCGACACTGATTTTATTTTCTCTTTGCTCTCACGCAACTCTGAATGTATGATTTCCCTTTTGCCTAATATCTTGTGGCATACCAGCCAAAATTTCCAAAATTAAAGTTGATTTCAAAACCTTTTTCTACCTGGCAGGGAATAATTAGATTAGCGTTTGTTTACACAACACATATCTTCTGCTCGCTCAGGACACAAACATTTGTGGTATTTTCAAAAGGAAGGGTTCGGATTCAAAGCCTCAAATTTTACTCAGGTATTGAATAATGACATTTTATTACGAATATCTAGTTAAAAATTTAAAAAATTATGTACCAGGTATACTTTTATCGTGTTAAATTTTACCTATTTTTCGCTCCATGTACAGCACTTTTTGAGGGTGTTGCTAAGGGACAAAAAAAAATCACAAGATAGATGTGTACGGAAAAAATTAACATAACACAAATGAATGGGAAGACTTTTTCTTAAAACGTGTGAAGTTTGGTGTTAACTGAATTCATTTTAAACCTTCAACGGAGCTTGGGTTTTGCAGTGAATTTTGGACAATTTGCCAGGCGGAAAACCGCACTTAAACCGCGTTTTCAAATTTTCGCAAATTTCTGGTAAATTAACACTCGTCGGAACTCTTAAACTTGATTTTTGAAAACAGTTTACCAAAGGGTATCGTTGGGCAAAATATGAGCCATTCACCAAAATGGTCGCTGAAGGACGATTCTCGATCCTTACAGGCAGCCATTCTTAAAAAACGACTGACATCTGCAGGATAATTTGCCACTGACATGAAAAAGTAAGTTCCCTCTGACCTCATTTATGGATTATTGAATGAATTGAGAGTGTAGAATAATACAATTTGAGGAACTAATGGGAGACATACTTGAACTGCATGGGCAAATCAACAAAGTTAATTAACCTTTAAAGCAAACCACATTATTTTTTTACTTAATGTAAAATGAAATATCACAGTGACTATTTATAATTATTTACATCACTACTATCATTTTGCAATTTTTTTGGAATTTAATATCATTCTATTTTCAATCACTTTTTCCAGCAGGTGTCCTATACATAGGAGGAAGTTCTTTCAGTGCAAACAAGCCTTGATTTTTCTTTCCATAAAAAATTTTAAAATTCTCTTGTCGACCATTTTTTTTATTAGCACACTTTTAAAAGGCTCTGAATCAAAGAAAAGTGAAGCTAGGAGGGTTCAATGCATGAACATATTCAGCTTAGTAGATGCAACAAAATACAGCTCTTTGTGCAGCTACATAAATGCCTTATTGATAACGTAATTGTTGCAACAAGTATTAACTAATACACTGCACCAGTGAGAAATACCTCTGGTCTAGTCTCTCCAACGATCCATCCCTCCACTGGTTGTTTGACTGAGATCTTTACTTTGGTGCTAGTCCTGATAATCTCGATATAAAGAGACTGGGGGGAGCCAAGTAAGGTTCTACCGGTTGATTCCTCTGCTTGCATGATTTTCTGGAAGATTTTTTTTTAATTGATTAATTGTAAAAACTAGATCCTTATCTTAACCTTGAGATTCAATGTTAATGTTAATGCATATTTTCATTGCCATGTATCTGCACTACACTTTGACGGAGTATAGCAATTTAAGAAAATAACCAGCATTTTTTACCAAGCTGTTGTTGTTTACATCTTCTTAATAACGGAGTGTTTTTACCCAAGGAACGGTAAGGAGAAAAGAAGCTCGGAAAATCTAGCCTGCCCAGTTTATAAAAAATTTTGAAGTCTAGATACCTCAAATGATGACTCACTGTCATCAAAAACATATAAGTATGCTGTGTAGTCCACACCAACTGTGCCCACTCCACCAAAAACAGCACATTGAAAGCGTTTCTTTGTTGGTTTGTTGTTATCACGTGATTTACCAATGATTACATAGGAGGTAAGGTTATCAACTTGAAAGCTGACTTCATTATTGTGGACTTGAAACTTGTTTTCTTCCTTCCATACAATTGATTCTTTGTGTGGTACAGAGCATTTTAGCCTGATGTCCCAGCCATTACTTAAATACACTAAAGCACTATGAGGTATTCTGACTTGTACTTGTTCGGATAATTGCTTCCCAAATGGATGAAATTTTATCAAAGGACTTAGTTGTACTTCATCTGACTGACGATGCGTAGAAGTTCCGTCACAACATATTTCTAGTCTTATTCCTTGAGAATCATTGAAGAAACAGCTTGCATCATTGAATTGGATTAAGACACCTGATTTATCAAAATGTAATGTCTTTTGTGAACCATGAGTTGTTGGATCTTCCAATGTTATTGATTCATTCTGTGGTGCTAAAGAAAGGAAAGGGATGAGTTTTAAATATGGTAGAGTTATAATAGTACTCTGGAATTTCCTTTGTTTGGAAAAAAATTGATCATTCCAAAGTTTAAAGTACCCAGGGGTCACCTTGTAGTCTTCCAGTATGTACTTTTTTGTGATGAAAGGCGCCCTTTTCATTCATAGCTTACAAGCAGCCGTGAAGAATTTTGCGTACTCCTTTGTGATCGATCACTTTTTGTCAACTGACCTTTTCAATAAAACATTATAACGAGGTGATGATTAAAACTTTACCTTCCTCCACAGGTGTCAGCAACGCAGCACATGAGTCGGATCTTTGATACCTATTACTTCTGCGGCATTTTACGCGTTTTATGATCACCAATATTACCATTATAATAAGAAGTGCTCCTGATACAGTCGAAAGTATTATAACAATAGGAGAATTCTCTTGAGAAAGTTTCCTGTGTCTATTTTGTTCTCGACACACAGTGATGGATCGGTCAGTATAACTGCATTGTTTGTTTTTTGCCATATTTTGACATTCGGGAATTCGCACGTCATCTTTATCATTACAGCAGGCAGAACATGGCTTGCATCCTGTGTCGTCACTACCATAGAATCCTTTTTCACATTGACCACAAACCCTATCATGTGTCAAATTGCAGGGTGTTAGTTCTTTCTGTCCAACTGAACAAGTAGAGCATGGCTTGCAAGTTTGTTTACTTGGCTTATTAGAAAACGTTTTGCCACGAGAGCACTTAATACATTTTGTATCATCGATGCTTCCTATTATAGTTCCATTTCCACATGGTGGAAAGAGTGATGTTCCAGCTGGGCAGGTTTTACATTCCTTGCAATGTGCACTATCTCTTTCCTGGGTTACAACAAGGTATTGATCTTTTCTACACTTTGGTAACTGACAACCAATCTCATTGGCATCACATTGTTTGTAAAACGGCATGTCTTTGCAACCATCTTCCAGATCATTTGTTTTGTTACAATTAGGAAGATATGAATAGCAAAAAGAACAGGGCTTACAATCTCCAGTTAATTCTTCAAAGTAAAACCCTTTGCCACAGCCATGTTTACACTGGGAATTATTCGTCAAGGAACAGTTCCTCTTGATGTTTTCATGATCAGAGCAAATTCCACATGGTTGGCATGAACTGATATCATTAGTAGAAGAGTAAGATTTTCCAAGTTCACAAAGTCCGCATTTAACCTTCTCACCATAACTAACAAAACTGCCACACTGTGGTGTTAGACCCATTCCAGGAGGACAAGATGGACATTTATGACAAGAAACATTGCTGAACACATCTTCGACCTCAAATTCGTCATAGTTACAGACAGTACAAACCTAATAAAAAGCAACGTGATGATAATCATAATGTGCGATAGGACCCTGTGGACTTTATCAATCAAAGAGCAAATCCACGGGCTGCAAAGCAAAGACTGGTGCCCAGACCTCAGGATAGGAACATTAAAATTCTATTTAAGCTAGCCGATCAGCTAGAGGCGTCAGGATGTCTGTCGCCGTGCCTGCTGCTGTTGTCCGCTACTATACCTAGTTTGAACGGTCTACTTCTTTGCCGTTTAATTTGGTGAATAATCACGTTGTTTTGTCTATCAAAACTTTTATTGCTCTGCTAAGAAATGATCACATGTAGTTTGTAAAGTTCATTGTATTACAATGGAGTTATCTTTAAGAGTTTCGTGGAATTTGACCCAAACGGGCTGCAACTTTCACTTCGTAAATATATTCATTTGAATTGTTTGAAATTTCCTAAAGATTCACGGTTTACTTACACTTGTAATGAGATGAAAATGGAATGTACACCTTAAACAGAGGCTTAGAAGATACATCCTTTGATCTCTCAGATCTGCAAAGGCAAAAAAACGCCACTAATTGAGCTAAAGGGTCGGCTTATTTAATCCCGTGATTATTCAGGCCAAAATTGGATAAAGTAAACACGACGTCATTGATCGAAAGTGCTCGGCGAAGCACATTCTTCCGGTGAATAATAACGCAGACAATTAGTAAAGATGCATAAATTCTGCCTACTCAGCTAAACATTACAAATTTCATTTAGTCTCGGTTGCTTTTGTACCGAACAAAAAACCTAGAACATTCAAATGATATTGACGGGAATCAAGTAACTTAAAATTTGTGACGTAGTTAAAATAAAAAATAAATCGCATGTCAAAGACATGTTCAAACAGCGTGACAAATGCTAAACAAGAATACCGAGTTTTCGGATACTTACCCCCAGTTTCATGGCAGTTATGAGGTAAACCTAGGTGCGCGGTTCTTCCAGCGACGATGAACCTAACTACAATGCCAACACCTCGACTAGTTGAAACTTTTCACATCTCAGGAGTGAGGGGATTCCCCTTGCAATTGACCTTCAAACTAAGCTGCCTACAACCAATCACATGATCCCGTTCATAATAAATATTTCTACTCTCTTGACGCTCTAAACGCTGAATGGCTGTAAAAGGCATTGTTCGAATGAAAATGAAAGCGCTTACGAAGCATATCTTGAAAATATAAAATAACTTATGGAAGCGAGTCCTTAGTACGTCATCGCATTTGAAATCGTCAGGTGATCGAAGCTCTGCGACTGTGCATCGAAGAAACAAACACAATTTATCGGCGGTTAACTATACCTTCTGTATCCTCAAAGGAGAGGAATGGATAGCGAGTACAATCTTTTTACCAGTAACATTAAGGATACCGAGAATCACGGGATACAGACAGCGGAAGAAATAACCTCAGCTCTAACTTCATGTCCGTCTTCGATGGCACTCGCTCAGCGGACAATTACAGTAGCCAACTGTTCTAGCAGACACTTCAGTAACTCCCACCACACTCAAGTCCGGAGAAGTACTGATGACAGGGAAGAAGATTTACTTCTAGAGTCAGAGCTAGTGGACGACTTTGGAAGACCTCCTCACACGGACGCTTTTGATACAGAAGCTCGTGATCGGATCGGAGAACTCTTAGAATCTGCACGCTCTTCCGAGCAATCCTCTCAGAATGTATCCTTACAGAGTAGAGCTGTTCCCCAACAGCAGTGTTGTAGCATACAGCAGGCAACACAAAACGGCGAATTGGCCGTGAAGTCTTCAACTAGACCTTCAAAGAGTACGGATATGCAACGATTTTGTGGTAAGCGAAATCCTAATATAATTGTATGCTTCGTCAGGGATTTAAATTTTCTATGATGTCGACGTTTATTCCATCGATTCCGTCGATTCTGTTTGTGGGCGAAATTGTGTTACTTTTCGCCTAGTTTAACTAAATGACTACATTTTGATCTGAATTGTATTTAGCTTTCGGAATATTGATCAGAACCCACATAAAAACTTCGAAAGGACATTATTTGGGCCATGTCTATCCTAGTTCAAGTCTTTAAAGGTTTATGGATCGATAAAACAGAATAGTGGTCGTGGGGGTGTGTAGAAGGAGTGTGGTAATCACGATGCTAATGAGTTTGGCAATCTAGTTGGAGATAATAGCTGTTGTGTTTTTCCGGAAAGACACCTCGCACAGTAGTCCAAAGTCCAGAATGTTTTTACAGTGGGAGTCCTGTGGGCAGGCAATACATGAGATCTCATAAACGTCCATTTGTTTAAAAACGATTTCTCTCTTATTAAAAGATCCAGAATCAAGCCATGGGCTCCAAATGCCCTGTGTGATTTTTATGTTTAAAAGAGGAATCATTGCACGAGATGATTTAATCCATAATCTCTACATTATACCAGTGAAGGACTTCAAGGAGGTATGCATCTTTGTATGTGCTCTCTAATTTATTGTACAATTGAATTACAAATTAGTTAAACTTCTTGTGAAGTTTAATAATTACGTATATACATTAAGTACATTATCATATAAATTTGATTTCGTGTGGCAGGTTGAGCAATCACAACCTGTTCATCATGGTGAGGTGCTTTTTATCATATTTTATGGTCAATTGCAGAAGTTCCCAAAAATCAAACAATACGAAGGTGTTATTTGCCATGGCACCGAATTCCCAATGATGGAGGAAACAAAAATCCCACCAAATCGCCTTTTCCATCGTATTCTGATTGATGGCACATGTAAAGTGAACTTTGAAATGGATGCTGGTGAAACTTTCTCAATTGTTTCCCCGCCTACGGTTAGTTGCTTTGAATAAATTACTCAATTAATACGCTAATTTTTTTTTTCGTGTCATGCAATTTAGCACAATAAAATCTCAATATTCGTGAACATCTACCATCTTTTAAAAAACCTGTTGACTAAAATCTGCCCTAAAACACTGTCAAGTGCATGCTTTTTCTTCCTCGTGTATTTTATATCCCTTTTTGTTTTCGTTGTGACTATTAGCAAATTGCTATAAAGATAGGGATTAGCCTGCAGTGGCGGCGTATTTTGGGCGCACTCGTGCACATTTTCGTATTAGGCCGCCATCTTAGATTTGGTAACTGTGGGGGATTGGGGCGAGGAAATATTTACTTTGTTATTATTTTATTAGTATTTTAAAAATACTAATATTTTACCTTCCCCACCCTCTCCCCCGTTTCCCATTTTTCCACTTAACACCTACTCCCTCGGCAAATATTTCCTCGCCCCAATCTTCCACAGTTACCAAATCTAAGATGGCGGCCTAGTACGAAAATGTGCACTCGTGCGCCCAAAATACGCCGGCAATGTAGGCTAGATAGGGATGTGTAGCTTTCACACTCTACACACAGGTTATAGTTATAATTTCTTGTCCAGTAATTTTAGGACAATGGCACATTTATAGTCACTATCTCTTGCAGATAGTTACAAATATCTCTGAGATCCTTTCAAGGAGTAAAAATCGTGTTGGGTGCGGATTTTCAGCCACAGTCCTCATAAGATGCACAGGTGGGAAGGACGAGCTCTCCGAGGGCAACATCTGCATAAAAATCCAATGTGGAAACACAAATTTACGTTTTACTATGCCCGTAGCGGTAAGCTGTTCTTACAAATGGTTCACTGTCTTAAAAAGAAATTCCACATGTAGTATTAAATTCCACTTGAACATTTGTGTTTCCCAAGGCAGAATATGCTCAGAATACTCTTATAATTACGTGTTAGTTGCATGGACACGTGTCTCTTTCCGATTGAGTTGAATTCAACCTAAAAGTACAAGGTCATCCAGCATCACTGATTATCACTTAAGTTACCATTATTATTATTCACCATTATTATTATTAAGTCACCATTATTATTATTACCATTATTATTATTCACGTGATATAAATGCAAGTACTGTAAGTATTGTTGTCTTCAGCTATTTTTTAAATTGTCTAGGTACAAGTCACGCCAGGATTTGGTACCAGTCTAACTCTTACAATTTGAGGCTACACTGTCATCCAATATAGTGTTTCTTTTTATTTCCCTGAACAAACTGTTTTAGTTTTTACTACTCCGACATAACATGGTCTCAGATTCAGACTATTACCTTTTTTAAAAAAATTCTGTAGCAATTAATGTTTCGTCTGTCTCAAGATGTTTCTAATTGATAACTTTGCAAAGATTAAAATTAGAATAAATTTTTGTCATCATTATTTTAACCAAAGATGTAAACTCTCACGTCTTGAAGAATAATGATGATCGTTATAATATCCCGCTATCTTGTTTTGGTTTAGTACTACGAAGCAAACACATCACCTTGGCTGTATAATCCACAAGCAGGTAATTTATCAATTGTAGGTTTTAAATATGTTGAAGGAAACTTCAGTTTGTGTCGTGACTGAAATATTCCACCAAAATTATTTTGAAAATCATGAAATACTATACGTCTTTGAACGAAACGATTTGCTTTTTTTGTGTCTGAAATATTGGCCATCATGTGAGAAACTGCCCTATAACCCTATGATATTAGAGCTTATATCATATTTTTCAGTCTATGAAACTATGAGGATTACTAATTCCTTTACATTTCACAGAAAATGTCTTGTAAGCTGTAAATAATGTATTCAAAATCATTATTCAGACACTTTATGCAATAAAACCGTACTTTACGTCAGTAAAAGTAATTGATAGTAAATAAAGGCAGTATAGTATCAGAAGTAGGCTGGGTTGTCTCCATTGAAAAGGAATTTTTATTCACGATTATTTTGATTGCCTCACCTCTTCATCCTCAGTCACTGCCATGCCTGACGAAGACAAGAAAGTTCTGCGTTCTTGCCATGTTTCTCTCCTGGAGAATATTGGTGATCCAATCTGTATATGTGATCACCTTTACCAGCACAAGATCTTCGACAGTGAGGACATGGAAGAGGTAGAGAATATGACAAAGAGTAGGGACCGCAATGCCTTTTTGTTACACTCGATTCAGACGAGGGGAAACATCCTTGACCTCGTTATTGACATAATGAGAGGCCAGCGAGAAAACCAGGAAGCAGCTGCCATTTTACTGAACAAACGACGCCATGGAGCTGATCAAAATAATGACGACAAATGAGGATCTGCATGCAGCACCTGCCAATATCTAATTGAAATTTTGCTGTGTTTAGTTTAAGTTAATGTTTACTGAGCTGTGTGTTCAATACCATATTATTATTTGCTTTAGAAATAATCAGTAAGAAATTGCCCTGAGAGAACAAGATTAAGCCAGTGAGGTTAAAGCAGTCTTTTAATGTCAAAAGTGTTTTAGCTGCTAAGAAAAGCAGTATAATGGATTATAATATCACTTTTACTTTTTCCCATTTGACTTCAGAAATGGAAATGAAAGATTTTATGGACAATGATTAGCTGTTTTCTGAAAGGTTTCTTACATTTATATTAAAATTTATTGTAAATATTTTTTTTCAACCTTTGCACTTTTGTTGTCTATTGTTTTAAATCAGGTGCTGTGTACTTGATGAATGTCTACCTTTTGAATCATATTATCTAATACTCAACTATTACTGATATTACAACCAAGAAATAGGGGAACTGTATAATTAGGTAGTGATATAGTGATACTCCTCCGTTGTATGAAGATTGGCAAATTTGGTGTATTAGACAATATGGTCTTAAATCATTGTAGTTAACATTTAAACTCCCAAGATCTGATTGTTTATTCTCTCCTCTACTTCTACTTGAAATTTTTTATTAATCTCATTACCTGTTTTCTGGATAACGTGGGGATATTGTATAGAGAATTTTTAATGTTAATCACTCAGAGAATAAAAAGGTTAAAGCAGGGAGATATGGTTAAGGCTCTATTACGTACAGCTTGCCCGTTTGTTATGATTCGATGTTTTGTTCTCAACACAGTTTCGTATTTCATAGCAAAATGTGCTTCTCTTTAATTACTTATGTTAAGTGTTTTGAGAGAAACTGTGGCCTTCTAGGAACAGATGATGTCCAATGCCTATGGGCGTCATGTTCTACATATTGTAATCAGTTTACGTACAGCTTGCCCGTTTGTTATGATTCGATGTTTTGTTCTCAACACAGTTTCGTATTTCATAGCAAAATGTGCTTCTCTTTAATTACTTATGTTAAGTGTTTTGAGAGAAACTGTGGCCTTCTAGGAACAGATGATGTCCAATGCCTATGGGCGTCATGTTCTACATATTGTAATCATTTTTATGTATCCAAGGACCTAAAGTTTTCAATTCTCTGAAAACAGAAATCCAAAATGTTGGCACAGTTTCTCTGTTGAAGTCTGAATTGCGAACATTGTGTAAAATAAATAATGAAAGATAGATTCAACATCACATGTGTAAATATGTTAATATCCTCAGTCTGAGTCAAATTCAATCTGGAAAATTGTTGTACTTTTATTATAGAAGAGGTGGAAATTTTTTCTTTGTTCGTAAAGTCGAACGCTCCAAGACAACTTTCCGCTTTTAGGAATTGATTGTGTCCATAGAAAAATGTCCAAGCATGCTTTAGCTCCAAATGGAGACTGTTCTTGGAATGGAGTTGCAATGATGAACGTGGGTTACTAACCAACTGCACGCTTTTATGACAAGCAAGGCCATGTAGACGAATGTAAGTGGTATATGGATAATATATTTAATGCAGTAGTAAAAGTAACACGCCAAAGAATTAAACAACTCACATCCTTGCCGAGTACCGTTTTTGTAGCTTAATTTTTTTGGATTGTAAATTTATTAAAAGAGAACTATTGAATAAAGTATAGTTCGCTTTTGATAACTGATTTTTATGATGCTTGATATAATTCAGAATCTCAATTCTAATTTTAATTGTAAAAACTATTGTTTTATTGCTTGCTTCTTTTCCTTTGTTGATGAGCTGAATTAGTGTTTTCACTAAGGAGAATATTCTCTCGATGAGTTGAAATCTTTATTTGTCCTTGGAAAGTTCCGCTTTGATTTCCACTGCAGTTTATCATCAACTTGTATACTTGTTTGTGCTAAGGCTGCTCATGCTGTAGGTTCTCTGTTTCTGTACAATCAGCATCTTAAAATGTTTGCCTGTCTCAGGCAAAGATCTCATTAATTAGCATAAAATATCTTGGTCGTAAAGGAACTTGTAGGGCATCGCCATTTCAGTGCTTTTGCAAGGCAAGATTGATGATTCAATACAAGGTGACTGGTGTCTCTTAATCAAATTTTATCATTGATTTGATTTATCGCAAATAGCTACATTTGATTCTGCCGATGAATATTACAAATTTTTTTCCAAGAGTACTCTGCCTGGAAGCCCTGACCAGGTAAATGAGTTTTTTTTTTTTTAAATAAAAATCTCTAGCTCTACCAAAAAGTATAAACGGGAACAGGAATACGTTCAGGGTGTCCTGACGAAATACCGGTAACTCTTCATGATGAACGGACAAGCATCCCTTACAAGAAGGGTTACCAATACTCATGCATGGGCACTTCATGCCACTAAAAGTGGGATGAGTTCGGTAGGTCTGGCCTTCTGGCACTGACTATACAGTTTGCCTGGTTCTGTAAGCGAAAAACTGCCCATGATTGTTATCCCTGTTGGCTGATATAAAGATGATATTATTACACATTCTCACATTTCTCGCATTCTTCTGATTAATGGCAAGGAACTATCAGTATCAAACAGTGTAAAAATCCTAGGAGTCACAATTAGCTCAGATTTAAAATGGAACGAACATGTATCAGAGTGCATTAAGAAAGCGAACAAGCGTCTTTATTTTATTGTTCTTCTAAAGCGTGCAAACGTTCCACTGAGCGACATTATAAATTTTTATTGCACCGTGATAAGATCTGTTTTAGAGTACTGTGCGCCAGTTTTCCATCACGCGCTCCCACAGTATCTTAGTGACGACATTGAACGAGTGCAAAAGAGAGCGCTCTCCATCATTTGTCCTTATGCGTCATATTTCGAATGTTTGGCCAGGTTCGACTTAGTAACCTTGCACGCGAGACGCGTGGCTCTGTGTAGCAAGCTTTTCGAGTCTATCACGTCATGCCCGGATCACAAACTCGTGCCTGTCTTACCTCCTAAGAGAGAACACAGATATAATCTAAGACAGTCCAGGGCTTATGCCATGCCCCGTACACATACAAATCGTTTTAAGAACACTTTTATTCCAAGTATGTGTACATAAA